AGAGAGAGAGAGAGAGAGAGAGAGAGAGAGAGAGAGAGAGAGAGAGAGAGAGAGAGTGAGAGTGAGAGAGAGAAAGAGAGAGCGAGAGTGAGAGAGTGAGAGTGATGAGAGAGACCACTGCAGAGAGAGAGTGAAAGAGAGAGAAAGGAAGAGCACTACCTAGGTACCTACCTAGTAGGAGGTAGTAGGAATGGTAGTCAGGTAGGTGTAGGTCACTGGGTGGTCGGTGGTCACTGGTCGCTGGGAAGTGGGAGGTCCCTGGTCGCGCGCCGCAGGTTGTAGCTCGGACAGCTCCCTCTTGGGCCGCCGCTGGTGTGCAATTCGTGCATGGGTGCTGGGTGCAGCCAAACTATTAAGCTTATAGAGAGAGACCCGCTCAGCGCACTCGCGCTTTTCCCACCACCACCACCACCACCATCACCACCACCACTACCATCAACTTCCCTTGTGGTCGCTGCTGATGAGGCCGGACGAAGTTGGGAGGGTCGTTGTGCTTTCGTTGTTGCCCTCCGCCGACTCGACTCACTGTCCCCGCCACTGCCACTAATACCACTGACACCACCATCTCCTCCTCCTCCTCCTCCACCTGCCTCTGTCCACCCCATGTCGGCGGCACTGACTCCTCCGACGACTCCCACCACGACTCACATGTATTCGGTGCAAGCCAAGCCGGTGCATGTCAATTCTGGAGCCGCCGCCCCGTCGAAGCCCTACGAGGCTTCGAGAATGTCCAGGTGGGTGCTGCCCTGTCGCCACTCACTGCTCGAGCGCGTGCCCATGAGCAATACTGCGAATTCGACCACTGACTGATCGACGTGGGATCAGGGGACTGCCCATCAATGCGCTGCTCTCCACCCCCACCACAGAGCCCGCGCAGCCCGTGGATGCTGTCCACAAGTTTGTCGAAAATGGAAGAACGTACTATAGGTACCGCCAGGATATGTACATGTTTCCCGCTGACGATGTAAGTCCTCCTTCTCCAAAATATGATGCCTGCCCGTGCAAGTGCGTGCAGTCAAGCAAGCAAGTAAGCAAGTAAGCCCGTATGCTAATTTCTGGAAAGACGGAACACGAGCGTCTGGACATCATTCACAACCTGATCTATGGCACTGCGATGAATGGCCAATTGCACATTGCGCCCTTTACCGGCACACCACGCAGAATACTGGACATTGGCTTTGGCAGTGGGTTTTGGATGATTGAGGCTGGCAAGAAGTACCCCACCACGGAAATTATTGGATTCGATCTGGACAATGCTCTGGGATCCGCCGTCCTAGATAATTGTCAGTTTCGATCTCCCGTGGACTTCACTGCTCCTCAATGGGAGATCGAGGACGGCTCGGTGGACTTGGTGCACATGTCTCAGCTGTGCGGCTGCGTGCCAAGCTGGCCAGATCAATATGCCAAAGCATTCAGATCACTACGACCCAGTACAGGTTGGATCGAGCACATTGAGTTTGACTGGATGCCTCGAAGTACGGATTCCCAGATACCGCCACAAGCGAATGATTTGGTGCATTGGTGGCATTGGATGCTATCGGCTTCAGATCAAGCGGGAAAGTCGTTACGATTTCGCGAGGATACCGAAGACCTACTGGAGAATGCAGGTTTCGTAGACGTCAGCCACAAGAGAGTGCGAGTGCCACTGTTCAATGCCGGAACAAAGGACAAGCGGTATGGTCATGACTGGGGAGACGAAGGCAGCAGCACCCCAGACATCCACTGACGGTATGCAGGGAACGAAAGCTTGCACACGCATATCAGACAGCCATGGGCCACCAGGGCTCGCAGTCATTTACTGGCTTCACAATGGCATTGTTCACGAGATACCACCGACTGCCGGCTCCACAAGTGGCAGACATTTGCGCCCGAGCGCTGTCCGTCGTGCAAGGCCAGCCCATGCCCCTCTACATTACTCTGTGGGTCAGCGCGGACACGGCATCCCTCGACCAGCCAGCTGACGTTTGCATAGACATATTTACACTGCAAGGAGACCCCAAAGCTGATCCGCACCTGCCTAATCGTACGCTTTCCGCGACTTCCACGCTCAGACCGCACGCCACATGCGGCCCGCGTATGCGGCATCTCGCTATGCGAGCCCGACGAACCTTTCGCATTCCGAATACATGGTTGTCTTGGCAAGCAAGCGATGCCGCCAGATTGTGGAATACTGCTTTTACGACCATAATGTCTACGCGTCTCTATATGGATGTGCATCATAAAGCATTGGGGCTGCTGCACAGGCCCCGATACTCGCGGCATATGGAGGCCTCTTGGCACAGACTTTACGACCAACAGCACGCATATCATCTTCGCCAGATATGAACCGTATCCTGGCGTGGGATCTTTGGACTTCCAGCGACGACTCTCCAAAAAATTTTGTACAAGCACGGCGCTTATCTTGTCTTCACACTTTTGGTCCCTTGCGATGTTTTTCCATCTCTGTAACATCTCAAATATGGCCAGATCTCGTATACTCTTAGCGAAGGCGTTCCGGCAATTATGGCAGCAATGTGACGACGAAATCATGTCTATCAGGGATTGGGAATGCATACCTCGTGGATTTACAGCGATACGACACGTTCACATGAGCAACGTGGGAAAGTTTGGTCTGGCAAGGCCCCACGAGTCCAATGGACTCGTGTATGGTATGTGGGGGACGAGCAGACGTCAGGACACACTGTTCACCTGGAGTTCGGTGTCCGGACGGAGATGCATGGATATATTGACGGCCGCAACGTAGTTTTAGCTGGCAATGTCACGGGTCAGCAGCAGGGAATATTTCCCACCTAGACCAGGGCCTGTGGAAGGCGCCGAGGTCTTTAATACCTCATACGGGGTCTGTGCACGCTTGGTCATGGCTTTCACTTCACGAGTGACGATGCACACCCTCGGAGGATACATGTACACATGCAGTAGGTATGGCCTTCTCGACTCTTTTGGACCCCTGTGGAAGAAGGGCCATTTGCAGCAGGCGAAACCGAACCAGCAACCCGGGACAAATTGAGCCTCAGCCCGGTCTGTTCTAACTACCAATATCCCTCTAGTAGATAGGCACATGTAGATATCCTCTGTGCCAAAAAAGTTGATGCAGTAGTGGTGGTGGAGAACAGCCAGACAGCCAAGCAAACCCAGCCCATGTTGGATTTTGAGATTTGGATTTTTTTTTTGTCTTTGGGTTTTCCGAGTTATCGGGATATGTGTGGGAGTGTGACTTTTTGTATGCCCAGTGTGTAGGAGGTACCTCCTAGGAGGTATGTGTGTGTGTTATGTCGGGATGTGGAGGGAGATATTCAAACCAAAAGATAGAATACCTACCTAAACCCAATTCAGTTAGCCGAGTAAAATTGTGCACGGACTTTCTGATTGGGTGCCCCGTCCGTGGAAGCCAATTCTTTCCAGTGCATGCAATGATGCAAGCATGGAAGAACACTGCCTCACTCACAATGGGCAATGGACAAGGTATGTAGGAGAAGGGTAGGAGGGAGGAGGAAACCTTGGACAGGGCTTGGACTAGTAGGAGGGAGGAGAGAACCTTGAAAAAGGCTTGGACTAGGCACCCGTAGGTCAGGTAGGTAAGGTACAGAAGCAAAAAGGAGAAGCAAATAAGCACACACACACGAGACTATACGACAGCGGGCACTTTGTCAGTTTTTCCTGAATGAAGCATTGCCTTTAATTACATGCATACATGTAGTAGTAGTAGTAGTATATTATATATACTTTTCTGTGCTGTATGGTGATCAAGCTCCAAGTTGGAGCGCACAAGTACCCAATCGACCTAGGTAATCTACCACTCTGCAACCTCACCTGGCTTCGGTTGCTGGATGCGAACAATCTTGTCGCAGTTGAGTAAGCACAAGGGGTCGAATGATTGCTTCATCTGTGAGAGGGGACAAGTCAGCCTATATCGTGCCAGCAGCCGAGGACGAAAGGGTCTATTGATGGAATGGACCAGGAACAGGATTGATGAGTGTGGAAAAACATTTCCCGCAGTCTTACTCCTCTGCTCTTTCCGCAAACTCATGAAACGGAGTGGATCAAAAGGGAGGCTGTAAAAACTTACCTTTCGCATGAGGTCCACGGCGGGCTCGCCAATTTCGTGATTCAGGTAGTCTCTCTTGACCAGTCCAACGCCATGCTCGCCGGTTGCCGTGCCCTCCATCTCAATGGCACGTTTGACCATCTTGTGCACCACTCGATCGGCTATCTCATGCTCTTTGTCATTGTATAGAATGATCGCATGGAAGTTGCCGTCTCCCACATGGCCGACAATCGAGCCGATTAGGCCAGATTTCGAAATATCGTCTTTGGTTTCTTCAATGATCTGTGGTAGTCGTGATATGGGTACCGCTACATCCGTCGTCCACACATGGTCGCCATTGTTCTTCTTCTGTGCCATCACACTCCACAGAGCTTCTTTGCGGGCGGACCATAGCTCTGCTTGTTCTTCTGGGGACTTTGCAAACTCAAACGTCTTGCTACCAGATTTCTTTGCGAGGTCCTTGACAATGGAGATGTGCTCTTTGACACTTGTCGGCGTACCCGCGAATTTGAAGAAAAGCGTTGGCACTTCTTTCCATGGTCGTGAAGTCTGTCCAGCCTGGTTGATGCACCGCATTTGTACATCATCCAGAATCTCTATGGCAGCAATGGGAACACCTGCGCCGACAACGCGAAACACACAGTCTGCGGCACTGCGAATGGATGGGAAGGTGCACACTGCTACATTAGTGCTCTGGGGCTTCGGCGTCACCTTGAGTACAGCTTCTGTAACCAGACCAAGAGTGCCTTCCGAGCCAATGAACATGCGTGTCAAGTCGTAGCCCGCGCTGCTCTTCCGTGGTCTTTGCTTCGTTTTGATGATGGTGCCGTCCGCCATGACGACGGTCAGTGAGAGTACCCAGTCCTTCATAGTGCCATATCGATATGCATTTGTGCCAGAGCATCCAGTGCCGACCATGCCACCGATCATGGCACCTGGACCTGGATCGGGAGGAAAGAACAGACCCTGTTCACCAAGCTCCTCGTTGAGAGTCTCCCAGCCGACGGCTGGCTGCACAACGACGTCCAGATCTTCCTTGTGGAGAACCAGGATCTTGTCCATCCGGCTGAAATCCACGCATATGCCTCCACGAGTAGCAGCAAAGTGTCCTTCGAGAGAAGTGCCTCCACTGTATCCCGTCACAGGTATCCTACGCTTGTGGCAGACCTTCATGATGGCCGAGACTTCCTCGGTGCTTGCAGGCCTGACGATTGCAAAGGGCACATCGTCGTCCAAGGCATGATGTGTGCTCCATTCGCTTCCCGCGTGCGATTTCAGATCTGACTGCTCCGTCGATATGTTCTCCTCACCCACAATGTCCTTGAAGTCGCTCCACGCAGCCTGTAGCGTCGCAGGAGATACGTCGTGATTTGGCGGTGTCGCGAGTGCAAGTGGCAGTGTGGAGTTCGGCGCAGGCTTTGCAGGACTCTGCTTGCCCATCAACCACCCACCCAAAGCACCTACTGCGAGCACGATGGGGATGAACCATATACCGCTGCTATTCGCTGCCTTTTCCTGTTCTCGCTGTGCTGCAAATCTTGCCTGATCCTGCTTTTCCCGCACCACTCGCTCATGTGTGCTCTGGTAGAGCTGGCCTTTGAATGACTCTCGTCCATTGGGGTCCTTTTCCTCAGTGGCATACGCTCGTCGTCCTCGTTGATGTTGTTGTGCTCCGCTTCGGCTGCTACCTCTGCAAGCTCCATGTATGCGCGCACTGCACAGCCGCCGCTGCACCAGGCGCGTTGGCGCCGACATGCTGCAAGTGGTATCGTATGGAATTGACGTTGCTGAATGTGAAAGACAACATAGGTAGGTAAGTTCAGTGCCACATGGCTGTCAGCGTGTGCGATGTGTGTACAGTAGAATCGACCGAACTACCTAGGTAGGTAGTACATTGGATGTATTTCATGCGCGCTCTCCACTTCGACAACAGCTCGGTTCTCCATTGGTACTCCACTCTGGACGTGAGGAAGCGCCGTATGGCCGCGCACCCGTGGCATAGGAACATTCAGCCGATGGATTCAGCAAGAGAACGGAGCACGATATCATCACAAGGTCATGACCCAAAGAAACTGTGACTAGGTACTACTGCTGTACTGTCTGCATGCCAACAGGTTTCTGCTGCCATGCAATGACCTATCTAACTCGTCGTTCAACATGATCAATACACTGTGACTACCTATGCGCGCACGCATATCGAAGCCAAACCCATTCCAACAAAACTCCTTGATCTGATCCCGAATCCCGAATCTCCCTATGATGATCGTGTTGCTCTCGACCGCATCTACAATGCCTGAGCAATGACCGTCTTTCCATGCACATCGTGTCTTTTCATAGCCAACAAGCATGTAGGCTACTATACCTGCAGAGTCTGTTCATAAAGGCTGATACCTTTGATCAGAGTCGTAGCTTCTTGCCCACATCTGCGCTGGCTCTGGTGCGCCAATGGATCATTCGTGTCCAAAGGGCCCAGATCGTGAGATTGTCTGCTCTCATGAAGCCTTCGTCACCTTTGCCACGCCTTTACGAGGATGCACTACTGTGCTGCATGGGCATGCCAGCTGGCTGCCCAAAGCCCGTCAGGCCCGTAGGCATGCTCATAGGCATGCTCTGATGAACGGACATGCTGGAAATGGGGCTATTCTCAGGCTTCCCATCATCGCCCGAACGCTTCTTCTCTTTCTTCGCCCACCTCAGGCCACATGCATTGCAAAGCGTCTTGGGACCCTTGGGTCCTTTGCGCCATTCAGGAGAGTCTAGCGTGCCGCAGTCCGCACACACGTACTCATCAGCAACCTTCAGTTTCTTCTTTTCCTTCTTCGAGTTTTCCCTGTCGCGGTCGAGGAGAATCGCAATGCCAGCATCGCCTCGGATCAGTGCAGGTGATGTGTCGCCTGTGCTGATACCATGACTGCGTTCTCCATCCCGATATCGTAAACCTGTTAACAACTCGATGCTCTCCAGGTGGGTGTTGTTTGCTTCGTAGCGCGACATCTTATCGGCGATACTGTCAGGCTTCTGAGCGGAGAGCGCACTGTCCAGATTCTGCCGGGTCAGTTGTGTGTTCGAGATGGACGGTTTCGCAGGCGGCGGCATGCCTTGGTAGTTGGGTGTGTCGTTAGCAGGGACTTCCGAGCCGCTCTCGGGCTCTCTTGAGCCACCCATGCCAGAATGCGAGGGTGTAGCACCGGCTTGGAATGTCTGCTCTCTGAACATGCGATCCTGTTCGGCAGTCTCTTCTTTTTCCTCTTCCCTCAGCTCTTTGATACGCCTCATTAATCGCTCGTTCTCAATTTTGTGTTCCAGGAAAGAGTCCAATAACGCTGCATTCTTCGTTGGGTACGGCCGTGCCATCATGAAAAACCCTCGACACATGCCCGCAACGTGCATGTTCTGGTTATTTTCAGACTGATGCGCAAAATTGCCTGCACCCGCTGGCTCCGGTGATATATGTGGATGGCCATCGCATTCGAAGATCATGTAGGTTCCATTGTCTTTCTTGAAGCGGTAAAAGAAGCGCAGGGCGTTACCACTGGCAATGCTCTCGTTGAACTCCCGCATGAATATCCCGCTGTCGTCCGGATGCACGTACTCCCCAATGAACTTTCCAATGAGCGTGTGCGGCTCGTACCCCGTTATTGTTTTGCATGACGGCGAGACGTATAGTATCCGGCCATCCGGCGTCAGAATGTGCAGAAAATCTTTCAGCTCCTCAATAATCCTTTGCGACCAATTCCGTCTCTTCGTGAACTCTGTCAAGGTGCTCTGGTTCGTTTGCGGTGGCATCCCGAAGCCTGTCGGCAGCGGGCCTGCACCCGCACCACCAGCTGGCGCGTTGCCATCCTGCTGTTGCTGCTGCTGCTGCTGGCCCTGCGGCGTGTAGTCGCCATTGCCGTTGCTCGCAATGGCGTTACTATTCGATGCCGATGCGGGCGCGGTCGAGGCACTCATGAGATTGAATGCCTGGTCACCGTTGCCCGACAGATCGAGGTCCAAATCCATGGGCAGACTGATGTCCATGTCGAGGCCATTCGAACTCGTCAACCCGCTCGCATCGGGATTCATCATGCCCATGTTGACCGCATGGCCGTGCTGATATATCGACATCCAGCGCCAGTGGGGACGGCAGCGCGCCCTCTCGGCTCGATCGTGCAGTCAGATCTGCGGCTGGTGCGCCAGGCCCTCACTGATGTGTTGCAGGGTAGATTTTTCGGGATGCGCTCCGGCAAGGGGGGAGGGCGCTGGCGGAGAGGAGTGGAAGTCTCACTTCTGGTTGTCTTGGGTCCACCAGAGAGCGGCGCTCGGCGCAGCGGCGTGCATATGCAGTGGATTTGGTTCAACAGCAGCTGGAGTGGTGGAACATGGCAGACAGGCCCATAATGACGCAGCATATAGTCCCTGGCCGCTATGGGTTGGGCGCAACAGGCATCTCACCACGATGCGTGCCCGTGCCGCATGAAGCTCCCGAATGTCCTGTTTCAAGATGCGCCCGGTCGACCCTGTGGAGGAAGACGATGGATGGGGATGGCTACCTCTGATTGGGTCTACTTTCCGAAAAGAGACAGAATTACACATTATAGGTGCCTTTCCTTACACCTACCTACCTACCTACTGTACTTACTACTACTAAGGTAATGTACGTTATGTACCTTATATAGGATGCCTTATATCCGTCCGTACGACACCACATCACGTGTCTTGATGCGCGTTTCGCGACTCGCGACTGCCTGATCCAGTATTTCGAATGAACCACACGTGAAGCGGTTTCGTGTGCTCGGACACGTCCACCACCACCACCATCACCATCACCACCATCACCACCATCACCACCACCACCATCACCACCACCACTCTCTCTCCGTCACTCGCTCAATGGACATTCGCCCCCTCTTCCGTGGCAACCTTATTGAATAGACATTTCCTCATCACGCCTCTACTGACTAGCAGCAAGTTACGCCAAAATGCCGGGGCGCTCGAAAGTTCAGAAGCTGTCCATATGTGGCATCCGGTCCTTCAGCCACAAGGATACCATGGCCATTGAGTTCAAGGCGCCTCTGACCCTCATCGTCGGCATGAACGGCTCGGGCAAGACGACCATCATCGAGTGCCTCAAGTATGTCACAGCCGGGGAGGTGCCGCCCAATTGTGCCAATGGTCAGTCCTTTGTACACGATCCAAAGATGTCGGGCGAGAAGGAAGTCATGGCGCAGGTCAAGCTCCTCTTCACGTCAACAGAGGATGTTCGTATGGTGTGCTCGCGGAGCTTGTCTGTCACAGTCAAGAAGGATAGTCGGACCTTCAAGACTCTCGAAGGCAGCATCCGCATGCAGAAGGGAGGTGAACGTAATGTCATCAGCTCGCGTGTCGCCGAGATGAACACTGCCATGCCGCGCTTTCTGGGTGTTTCCAAAGCCATTCTAGAGAACGTAATCTTTTGTCATCAAGAGTCATCACTGTGGCCCATGTCTGCTCCCAAAGATCTGAAAATCATCTTTGACACCATTTTTGAGGCTCACAAGTACACAAAAGCGATCGAGAACATCAAAGTACTCCAAAAGAACAAGCGGCAGGAACTCGTGGTGCTGAAGCAGGGCGAGGATCATGCTAAAGCTGATAATGAAAAGGCAAAGCGACTCAAGCAGCAAGAAGAGCGCTTGTTACAGCAGTGTAACAAGCTGAACGAGCAGAGTGCAGCTATTGAGAAAAAGATTCGGGAGGCTCAGCGTGAGTGGGAAAAGGTTTCTAATCAGCTCGGAGAGGTCAGCGTTGTCGTTGGCGAGCTTCATGGCAAGCGCATCGAGCGTCAGACCAAAGAAGAAAGCGTCAAAATCTTGCGTGAGAATCTAGACGAACTAGAGGAGTCCGACGAAGACCTCCAAAGAATGCTTGAACAGCATGCAGAGCGCATCGGCATATACGAGCAAGAGCTGCAAGAGAGAAAGAAGGACTACGCCGACAAAGAGGCGGAGCTGGGAAACGCTCGTAAACAGCAGAGCAATCGTGAGCGTGAGTGCGGCACGTACGAGGCAGAGAAGTCAAGCAACGATCGACAAGTAGAGACTCGCAATCGAATGATCCTGGATGCTGCGCGTCTCCATGATATTTGGACAACAGATACTGTTGACGACGAGTCTGCGAGCAAATTCATGAAAGAGGTCACCAAAGCAGCGAAGAACCAGCAGATCAAGTTCGAGCGTGTTCGTGCCGAGCACTTGGAGAAGGTGCAAGACCAGCAGAAGGTGCTTACTGCTTACAATGAGCGAATATCTGGGCTCAAGTCGAGCAAGGTCGCATATCGCCAGCAGATAGAGGCCTACGACCGCAAAATCAGATCGATACAAGCTCAGAGGAACGACCTCCCCGCCGATGAAGGCTCTAAAGCCACACTCGAGGCACAGTTCAAAGAGGCTCAGGACAAGCTGCAGACCGCCAAGGCTGACTTGGCTAACGCAACATGGGAGGTGGACATTGAACGTGCGACCGCTGAGCTTCGCAGACTGGAAGACCAACGTGACAGACTTGATGCTGAGCAAAGCGAGGCAGCACAGCGCGCTGGAGACTCAGCACAGCTTGATTTCATTCATAAAGAGCTCCAGGATCGTCGGCGCAGCCTTGACACCATGATCAAGGCGCACACGAAGAATCTCGATGCTACTGTTGGTGGTGGCTGGACCGTAAAGACGCTTGAAGCTGCCTTCCAACGTGCTCAAGATGACAGTATGTCACAGGTCAAGGATGCCCAGGGTCTTCGTGATGAGTCGGTCAGACGCGCCGAGACCAAGAGCACTAGCCTGCGAGAACGCAAGGACGCCCTGGAGGCCAAGCAGCATGAAGTGCAAGCTGCTGAGGATGAGGTGTACAGGCTTGCAGAATGCAAGCCATCGGAGCTTTCAGATGTTATCGCAGAATTGGAGGAGTCGCGCGATGAGCTCAAGCAAAACACTGACAGCCTTGGACTGGTCCAAAAGTACCTCGAACAGTGTATCTCAGATGCAGAAAACGGCCACTTTTGTCGGACGTGTGCACGAAGCGTGAGTGCGGGCCCCGAGCTTGAAACGCTGCTACGCACTGTGAAGGCGCAGCAGCAGAAATACGTTGCGCCTGTCGACAATGAAGAAACACTGGCAGAGAATATCGAAGCCCTGGACAACGCAAAAAAGGCCAGTACTTATGTCGACACATGGGAGCGGCTTACACAAAAAGAGATTCCGGCCTTGAAAGATGACATACGCCAACTTGAGCAGGACAGCAGGAAGCTGAGCGAAGAGGTTGCAGACCGCAATATGGTTGTGAAAGAGGTCGAATCGACCCAACGTGATGTTGGCACCCACAAGAAGACTGTTGAAAAAATCATCAGCCTGTCGCAACAGATCGAGACGTTCCAACACCAGATCAAGGAGCTCGCTGCCAAACAGGAATCCGCAGGCCTGTCTCGCGGGCTCGAGGCCATTCAGGCTGACATCAAGAAGGCCGATAATAAGCGCAAGGATCTCGTCGCTGAACAGTCAGCGGCTACCAACGCTCGAGACAGAAAGAAGACTGCCATCAGCGCGCTGGAGCTGGAGATCAGCAATGTCAACGGCGAACTGCGGCGAGTAGAGTACAATCTCAAGCAGAAGACGGCTCTAGCTGAGCAGGAACAGGAGCAAAAGGACTCGAAGTCAGATGCGCAACAGCACGTGCGTGGCATCGACATTAAGCTCGAAGCAGAGAACTCCGGGCTCAATACCCAGCAGGAGATCTACAGAGACATTACTCGTCGAGGGGATGAAGCAGACCGCGAACAGCAGGAAAAGGCAAATAAGCTGAACAACACAGTGAACAAGTTGAATAGTGTTGTACAAGACATCAAGGCGTATCTCGACCGAGGTGGTGATGGTCAATTGGCACGTGCACAGGAAGCACAGAGGAGCGCGGAGGCTGAAGTTGCGCGCATTCAGTCCGAGCAGCGTCACATCATCGCCGATATCAAGGAGCTGGAGCAGCGTATCGGCACGTACGCAGGCATGAAGCGTAGCATTGTGGATAATCAACGTTTCCGGCGCGACTTCAGGCAGCTCGAGGCTGTACAAGCTGATATTGCGGAGCTGGAAGCACGTGGCGCTGAAGCAGACGCGAGCCGTCTGAACAAACAGCGCGAACTCTGGAAAGACCGACGAAACGAGCTTGCTTCTGATCAGGCCGGCGTGATTGGCGAACTCAAGGGCCTGGATCGCGAGCTCACGGAGGCGCAGGCTCTCTATCAGTCCGAGTACAACGATGCGGGCAAGAAGTACCAAGCGGCACACATCATGGTGGAAACGACCAAGGCAGCCATCAATGACCTGGGTCTCTATTGGGGTGCGTTGGACAAGGCCATTATGAAATTCCACACGCTCAAGATGGAGCAGATCAACCAGATCATTGACGAGCTCTGGCGTCAAACGTACATGGGTACGGATGTGGACACGGTGCTCATTCGCAGCGAAGGTGTGGACGGCACGGCGCGAGGCAACAAGTCGTACAACTATCGGGTTGTCATGGTCAAGCAAGACACAGAGATGGACATGCGCGGTCGCTGTTCGGCGGGGCAGAAGGTGCTCGCGTCCATCATCATCCGACTGGCGCTCGCCGATGTGTTTGGCCAACAGTGTGGGATGATTGCGCTAGACGAGCCGACCACGAACCTGGACATCAACAACATTCGCGCGTTGGGCAAGAGCCTGTCGGAAATCATCAAAATCCGACGAGGGCAGGCCAATTTCCAGCTGATAGTCATTACGCACGACGTGGATTTCCTGCAGTACATGAATTGTGGCGACTACACGGACGATTACTGGCTCGTGTCTCGCGATGAGAATCAGCACACGGTCATTGACAAGCAGAACATTGCTGCTGTGCTTTGAGAGTGAGAGAGTGGAGAGAGTGTTATGATGTTGACATGTACATGTACGAGTAGGTACCTGTATCTGTAGTTCAGCGAGGCGCTCGGGGAAATGGAGCATTACCTAGGCTACCTTGCCTACCTACCTACCTGTACCTGACCGGAGCTGATCTTTTTACTACTGTTCCACGTGCACATATGACGGGGATCGAGCTACAGCAGGTTCTTCCAAGCTGTGGCGGTGAATGATGTGGATGACATGTTTCCGAACCAATGCACTACCTCATTGTACATGTAATAGGTAGGTACCTGTAGGTACCTTCCATGATGAAGAGAAGCCTATACCTGAGGTATACATGTGTATGTAATAGGTACATAACCCCATGATGCCCAACTCTGTTCCCGTGATGCATCAACTAGTGTAGGTCGGTAAGGTAAGATGGAATTGGAGTCAGTCGACACCGCCTATAGGCCATTTCATCGCGCACGCAACTAGCAACACGTAGGAGGAGGAGAAGAGGAGGAGGAGAAGGGGAGATGCATCTTGATCAGCTGGTTGGTACGTTGCAAAAACTGATGAATGTAACTACCTACCTAGGTAGTGTAGGTACCTTACCTAGGAGGTAGTGCCACGCACAATCAGTGACTCAGTCCGACTCTCGGCAAACAATCTTGTTGACCAGCTGATCTTGTGTGTCGGGTGTATATGTGTGTGTACATGTAGGTACCTTGTGTGTGTGAGGTGGAATATGGTATACCTAAGCTATTATATAATCGTAATCATGGGCCACACTTTTCAGCCCTGTCGTACCTCTTAGCGACGTACCTAGAGTAGGGTACACCTATGTAAAGAGCGGTATGATAGGTTCCTCGGTCGGCGGATGGGCACTCGACACCGTTGAAGGAATGGTGTCGATCTCTTTCCCCGCTTGGATCTTCGTGTCGATCACTAACACCAATGGTTAGAGAGGTAGGAGGTACGGTAGGCTGGCTGGTACGGAGGTAGGAGAGAGGCTAACATCTCTCTCCTCCGACCACCGTTCCGCCAGAGAGGAAACGGCGGGAAACGGTTGCTGTTAATGGTCCATAGCGGTTGAAGTGAGTGGACACCTCACCTCCTGGATTTCAATTTTCTTCGCCATGTCAGCGGGCTTGTTTCGTCATCCGTTACAGACTGATTTGAGTCGAAGTTTGTGCCCTTGATTTCTGTTCTTTTTTTTTTGTTTTTTTGTTCTTTTACTTTAGGCAAGCAGATTACAGATGCAGCAGCAAACATCCAAGTCGACACCGCCTAGGACGATGCCGTGCGTGCGAGATCATCCCTAGTCGCATTCACGGCAGCTGATGGGGTCACGCGCCTGCGACCATTGGCAAAGTACACTGGGGATGCATCGCTGGAGAGGAGGCAGAAGGCGAGGGGGAGGCTAGGAGGTGGGTAGAGTGGTACCTTAGAGAACGAGAGAGAGAGAGAGGTGGAGGTGGAGGGGGAGGGGGAGGGGGAGGGGGAGGGGGAGGAAGGGGCCGAGGCTGGTGGCGCTTCATGCTTACATTACCTCTAGTTACCTTACCTTAATATGGTAGCTTATACATGCGACGAAGCATGTGGTCAACCGTCAATGGTCATCACCGCACCACTGGAGCCTGTTTGCGGGAGCGTTATAGAGTCAGGAACGGGCGAGCTAAAAATCTCCGACTGTCTGGGAAATGCTGGTTCTGTAGCGGCGATTGGTTGGAAGCGGGCCCGCGTGCAGACCCACATGACCCCCAGATTCAGGAATCGGCAGGCACGCACTGTTGATCTCAACTTCATCCCAGGCAGGAACTACTCGGTACCTCCGCTCGTGGGCGACTTCCAGTTGGGCACTGCTGCCGTTGCTGGTCGTTGCTGGTCGCTGCTGCCGTTGCTGGTCACTGCTACTGCTGCTGATTCTGATGATGCTGATGCCAATGCTGATGCTGACAAGCGACACCACCGCCTTTCTCCATCCACTTCATCACACGTCCATCCATCCATCCATTCATCCATCCATCCATCCACTCTGCCGGGCCACTTACGAGCCCCCCCGTCACCATGACCGTGACCGTGACCGTGACCGTCACCTTCACCGTCACCGTCTGCTCCCGCCGGCCCGCCCGCTCGCCCACGCAACTGCAGTGCCACCCACGCGACGTCCTGTGCTGTGTTGTGCTGTGCTGGCGTCGATCGGCATCATGCGTTCGCGCCGTGCTGGCCGATCTGTCTGACCTCTCGCCGGAGAAGCTGGGGGAGGGGGGAGGGTAGGCCAGCCAAACAGAGCGAGAGAGAGTGAGTGAGAAAGTGCACGCGCGCGCGACACAGAGCTCTTTGTCACATATATGGAGACGCCGCTGCCACTTTCTTGTGATTCCTTCTTTATTATCACCTATATCCTTCCCCTCCTCCTCCTCTGCTGCTCACATCGATCGCATCGCCAACAGTTGTCAGAGGTACGAGTACGAGTCACAGCAGGCGATCCTGACCGCAGTATTATTACTCCCAGGACTAGCGTGCCGCACCCTCCAACTTCCTTGTCCGGCAAGATTTCCTCACAAACCGATCAACCCAGCAAGCATTCCGCGTGCGCGCATTCCGGACTTCGATTAGCCTGTTTCACTGGCAATAACACCCGACTCAAGCAGCGGCAACCTCGTCGCATGGTTTGCCGATCGTGCTTCCTCTCCACCTCTCGTCCCATCTGGTATATACCTACCTCCGACCTGACCTGACCATCTCGAGCCCGGAATCTGGACTTCTGCAGGCTCCTACTACCTCCACGGCTGATCTAGAGCAAACATGTTCTTCAAAGGCACCCTTACAGCGCTATGCGCTGCCACATATACTCTCGCTGCCCCGTAAGTGCTGCACGCGTCTGCTAGAGTGCTGGTTACATGCAACTGACGGCTACCACAGTAGCGTGAACAAACGAGCGTCCGGCTTTGATTGGGGCAACGAGAAAGTGCGAGGACTCAATATTGGCGGCTGGCTGCTTCTAGAACCATGGATAACACCATCGATCTTCGAGAATGTCGATCCCGACGGCTCCAAGGGCATCGTTGACGAGTACACATTGACTAAGACCCTCGGCGCAGACCAAGCCTATAATCAGTACCTGAAGAGCCATTGGGAGACATGGTGTACATGGGCGGATTTCAAGAAGATTGCCGATTCCGGTTTCAATATGGTCCGGATACCAATTGGCTTCTGGGCATACGATAACTCGAACACTCCTTACGCCTCTGGTGCAGCACCCTTCCTGGATGCCGCCATCGATTGGGCGCGCTCCACTGGTCTCAAGGTTCTCATCGATCTACACGGTGCCCCAGGCTCTCAGAACGGCTTCGACAATTCCGGCCAAAAGATGGATAAGCCTACGTGGACCCAAGGAGACACCGTCGCAAAGACCCTTAGCGTGCTGAACACGATCCAGTCCAAGTACGGCTCCGGGCAATACGATGATGTGGTCGCTGGTATTCAGCTTCTCAATGAGCCTCTCACACCGAGCTTGGACCTCAATACCGTGCGGCAATTCTACTACGATGGATACTACCAACAGCGAGATTACAGCAGTTCTCGTACGGTGGTCTTACATGATGGCTTCCAAACCACAAACTACTGGAATGGTATGCTCACACCCAGTGATAACAATGCGCAGCAGGTGGTCATGGACCATCATGAATATCAAGTATTCACACCGGAATTGAACGCCATGAGTCCTGCCCAGCACAGGGACTACGTCTGCAAGAACGCTCCCGCGTGGAATGGCGCCGACAAGTGGACCATTGTCGGCGAATGGAGTGGCGCAATGACGGATTGTGCCAAGTACCTCAACGGCTACAGGATCGGTGCCAGGTATGATGGTACCTTTCAGGGTTCGTACTACATTGGATCTTGCAACAACCAGGACATGAATGCTTGGAGCCAGCAGCAACGGGATGATACCCGATCATATATCCAGGCACAGCTCGCAGCTTACGAAAAGTACGCCCACGGTTGGATATTCTGGAACTTCAAGACCCAGGGCTCTCCCGAATGGGATGCCCTCGCTCTGGTCGACGCCGGGCTCTTCCCGACACCTGGAACAGACCTGGGATCTGCTTGCCCATAGAATGTGACAGCTACGATATGCGGAGGCTACAACATGACCAGTCTGCACAATATCACCAGTCTGCAGAACATAATTCACTTGCCTAATGTAACGAGTCTGGTCAATACGACCATTTTAACGAACTCCACTTGCCTCGACAGCAGAACGACAGCCTTGGGGCATGGATGATGAGTTGCGGAATCCCACGCTGTGTAACCAGTCGTTCACGCGCTTCTTCGAGCGCCGTGGGGTCCAGCATGACCAAAAATGAACAGAGTACTCGGACGGAACAGCGCCGAGACTCGTCATCTTCTCACTGTACATACGAATCTATTTAGAAAGTAACATAATCTCGTATCATTGTCAGACATGATCAATCATCGAGTGAAGCGAGCAGAAGTTAAGAATGGGTTGCGAGGCGAATGATACCTGACGAGTGGAGACGTGTAGTGGTTTGAGTACTGCTATGGGGTGGTTGCGTGTCGCTGTTTGAGGACTGCAATGGGTACATTTACCGTTGCGCGTCGCAAGGGCAATGAAACATGGCCCGGACGTTGTCGTTGTTGTTGTTGTTGCAGCGATTGAGTCGTTCCCTTTCCCCTGGGTACGTACCTTCAGCTGTTTGACGTTGTCGTCTCGTAGAGACAGGAGTCCAGGACTAGAAGGAGGTACGTACATGTAGGTTAGGAGGACCGGAAACATAGAGGGCCGGGTCTATTTACTTCCTCCTTGTAGTGGTGGTGGTGGTGGTAGGGAGGGGAGCCTGCTCAGCCCGCTAAAGCCTGGTACATAAAGGAGTGGTTTTGTGAGGATTATGAAACGAAACGCAACCGAAGTCTAACGCGTCCGGGACGATCAAACTCGCAGCGAACACCGCGACAAACGTCACGAGGTACCTGTATGGATCTACTACTGTCCAATACCTTACGACTACAACGTACGCCCGGGCATTGCGGTGTACTATAAGTCCGTGGGTGCAAGAGAGAGAAGTGAGGAAATTGTTGGGCTTGAGGTCGTTTCAATACTTGACCTCCCATGTAGCAGTTTAGTTCGAGGAGGAAGAAGAGGAGGCGAAGGGGGAGAATGAGGAGGAGGATGAGGAGGTAGTGGTGGTACGTCAGCAGCGAGGATGAAAAGGTAAAATATTCTCCTACTGTACTACTTTGACATGAGCTGCTGGAGCTTGTGACCTTTTACAAGGGTTGCGCGTTTCCAACAGCGCTGGCTCTGCGACAACGACATCCCCAACAGCCTTCGAGGCACGCGAGAACGCAATCACACTGCCCATCTCCAAATTCTCCATGGAGCACAATCTCCATCCGAATAATTAGTTGAAAAGCCTCATCTCCATCATTGGGCCTGCGCCTCTCGATTTGCGCACATTTTTGGTATTATTGGGATACCTACCTATCCGACCCGATCACTCTGAGCACTCTCTCATTCACTCACTCGCTCACTCCCTGTGACGCGCCCGTTTTGCACAGTGCACAAAGCTTTTTGCAAAAACGCCCAACGAGTGCTGTGCTGTGCTAGTCTGTCTACCTCACTCATGCTGCCTGACTGTGTCAGCTTGTGATGCCACTGCGAGAACAGCTTCCTCTCCCCAGCAGCATTCCTCCTCCTCCTCCTCTTCATCCAGCAGGAGCCATATCACCACACAATTCCTCCACGCCGTTAATTTCCGAGCGCCAACGAGAAGACCAGCGGGACGTCGAAGCCACGCCCACGGCATTGGTAGGAGGCGACAGTGACGGAAAGAGTCTGAAAAGGCGGCTGCTTGATCGTGCGCGTAGGAAGCAGGACGACGACGACGACAACAACAACAACCACAATATCAACAACATGCAAACACAAATGGAGGCAGCCAACACGGCCGCTTTCGAGACGGCTGCTAGTGCGGCCGATGTTCACACTACAGCGCCATTGGGACAGCAGAAGGTGGTAGACGCTTCCACCAAGCCGCGAGCACAGCGGACTCCAGTCTCTCCCTCGCGACTACCCTACCATTCCACCCTCTCCGCATCACCCTCACGCTTGCGATCCACCTCGCCCCGACTGCATAGCCCAGCGTCTTCGGAAATCTTCGAACGCAATGTGCAGGAGCCCATACCGATATCTACGCTGGGCAGCGAGCTCACCGACGCGCATATCCCCGCGCATGTCATGACAGAAGACGACATCCCCCCCGCGCTCGATGCCTCGGCCGAAGCCATCACGAGCAAGTCATTGAATCCCGATCAAGTCGAGATCGTGATGTCGACTGCGCACCAGCCGGCCGCAGCGAGCGTGCTGGAAGGCAGTCTTGCGGACTTGAGCTCCCTCCACTCTCAAGTGCGACATGATGCTTCTCTCGATTCCGAGACCGCTTCGAGCCTGCATGCATCCAGTATACTGCCGAGCCTCGACGACGACGTTGCAAGCAATTATGGCCAACTCGATCCCACCGACGTTCGCCGCTTGAGCTTCATCTCCTTCAAAGACATTGTTCATAGCGAACACCAACAGCAGCAGTACATGGCTGGCTCCGGGTTGGGAGAGGTTGGAAGCCGGGATTCTCTTCACATTGGTGGCCACTCATTCAGCAGCTCCATCAACGAGCGTGCGGCATCTCCCTTACGATCGCCTCGATCTCCCACGTCTTCGCACAGTCAGACGGTTGCATCGGGCGGTCTCGCAACTCCGCCACCCGGAGGAAACGTTGTCAATCCGTCACTCGAGCAGTCTCCGGTCAGATTCGGGAGTCCCGGAAGCCTGCATGGGGCTGGACATGGGGAATTGACCATCGAGACGATGCGACAGACGATCCGAAAGACTGCAAGTGGTGACCTGAGTAGTGTCAGACAGAGAGAGGGCAGTGATGGCCACAGAGGAGCGGGGATGAGTCCTGTGAGTGACGAGATTGATCTGATAAGACAGGCACAAAGCAGGAGTCGGGCGAATTCATAGCACGTGCCTGGGTACGGTATTGCGAGATTGCAAGGAAAGAGTGAATGGGACCACTGGCTGGCGCAATGCCCCGGCTGACATGATTGATGAGAGTGCTGGGAGAATGAACCGTGCTGAAGACATTTTCTTCTTCTTCTTCATCTTCTTCTTCTCCTTCTTCTTCTTTTTGGCGCAGGCTGTTTCTTTTTTCATTTCCCGCTTCGGATGGATATTCTTTTTCCAGCCAATAGTAAGGTACCTTAGATTCCCAACCTCGTCCGCAAGTCTGCTCATATCTTGGGATCTCAAGCCTCATGCTTCTCTCTCTCTCTCTCTCTCTCTCTCTCTTTCCAGCCTGAAAAGTGGTAAGGTAAGGTAAGGCAAGGTAAGGTAATGAAAGGAAGTTTCTTTAACCTTGTCATTTCCTGGCTATCAGACTATAACATCATATTATTAGTCTTTATAGACGATGATATTACCAGGTACCTACCCACAAACCTCAGTATCACTCTTTTTTACTTTTCCTTTTTGTCTAGACGCGTTTAACGAGACGAAACGAAACGATATGAGACGAAACAAGACACGTGGGGAGAGGGAAGGGGGAAATGGATGGATGATGAATGATTGAATGATGATGAGAACCCAGAACCACGGATCAAGAACTTACAGGTATACATAAGGTATGTAGTAGGTAGGAGACTAAAGATGCATGTCCGTTTTCCTTTTTCTATTCCCAAGGAACAGGACAGTATGAAACTCGCTCGAGCCGCGTGAAGCGCGGCTAACTACCTGGTATACAGTACGTGGAATCTGTAGACCCTACATACAGGTATTAACTTACTATGTCTCGGCTCTTGAGTCAAATTGGGAGGGGGTTTGGTTTAGGATAGGATAGGATAGGATAGGATAGGATAGGATAGGATGGGGTTACGGGGATAGGGACGGGGATGGGTATAGGGGAGAGACACATAGGTATCTCATCTGAGTTACCAAGACTCGCCTATAGCCAAGGGGGAGTTTTGGAGATGGTACCTGTTTGTCTTCATCATACAACGGCAATTCGTCAGGTCAGGTATATACGAAATGCGAGGGAGGTAGGTAAAGAGGATACCTCCTAAGGTTCGGTAGATAAGGTAAGGGTTGTCTCTGTTACGATCCACGGCAGTTCAGAACTTCAGGTACGATATGTAAGGTACATAATCTTACTAGGTAGGTACCTTTCTTCTTCTTAGTGCTGATGATGAGCCGTGATGCTTTATCTAGGACTCAGGTATGTCAGGTACCTTAGGTACTGTACTACTAGGAGATTGCAGGTAGTTAGGTTACTTACCTACTTACCTCTAGGCTCTACATAGGTACAGACAGGTAGTGATTGATTATTGTCAATTTGTGTACTGTTGTTACTCGGTAACTCCTTTATCATCAGGCTTTATGTATCTTAAATACATTCCCTACTGACTAACCAAGAGGCCGTAGGAGGTAAGCCTAATGGACTGAATGACTCGTTTAGCACATACAGCATAAGCTAAGCCGTTCTTTACCTCCTAGTCCATATCCACAGTCGATTCCTTTAGGCTTTACAAAACATCAAAGAAACTGTCCTGTGCCGGTCTTCCCTCCGCGTTTCTTCATGATCACCCCAGGCATTGGTAGGAGATATATTGGCCATACACAATCTTTTCGTTACAGTGATCGAACACGTACATACTGCATGGGGGGGATGGGGGGTTTCTGTTTTCAAATATAGCAGGTCGTTAGAATGACAACGTTGTATTCCAATGAGAGAGATACATCCATACAGGTACATGTACCTCCACGTGATGTAGATGAAATCGGCGCCTCTAATGACATCACAGAAAGTCAATCTCTCTCTCCATCTCTCTCTACGTGTATCTCCCTTCCCCCCCCCCATCCAAAAAGAGTCCAACAAGGAGCTTCCAAACTGAAACGATGCCCAGCGCTGGCGTGCTGACGTGCTGAAGTGCTGACGTGCTGACATTATTATTATTATCATCATCATCATCATCATTGATTACTGACATGATGATTGGATAGTTTGGACTCGGCCTGGCTTGGAGCTTCTTCTTCTTCTCCTTCTTCACGGACTGGAGGACCGGACTGGGATAAGTACCTCCGCGTGGTACAGATTCCAGGCACGCACGTCGAACTCCCATTGTTCTTCGTTTCCAGGTTGTGAGAAGACGGTTGAAGGTGAAAAAGATCGTTCCTCCTAGGAGGTAGCGTAGCGTAGGAGGTATCCTTTCCGTCCCTATTCTACCTACCTAGGTACACTACCCTCCTCTCTCCTGTACAAGTGTACATTGTAGTACAAGATTTTTACTTTTGGTGATGGATGACAAGCTTCAACAATATTTCTACCTACTACCTTAGTGGCGATCGGCTTGGATGGGGAGGGAGACGACAAGCCCCCAAGCCCCATGCCCGCCCAGAGTGAGGTCAGAGTGTGTGTGGCTGATGATTGGGTTGGGCTCCCATACAAACCTTTCCCTCCTTAGTTGCATCTTGTGGACTTGGCCCATGTGGGACCGCGATATTGATTGTCGTTCTTCTTCTTCTTCTTCTTCTTCTGCTTCTTCTGCCTCTTCTTCTGCCAATCTGCTTCTACGTCTTCCTCTTCTGCTTCGGCTTCTTCTTCGCTTCTTCGCTTCTTCGCTTCTTCTTCTTCTTCTGCTCTAGGGCCGGCAGGGCTCTTCGAGTACATGTAGCGCACGGGCGTCTGCAGCAGGCTGGTGCGGGTAGGTAGTTGTCGCGCATTTGTCTTGGACGGTTCTTTCGTTGGGCTGTAATCAAAGTCGCTAGGTCACGTAGGTCACGTAGTTAGGTAGGTAGGTACCTTCGTAGTAGTTGGATGTGACTGAGCAATGCCGTTTCAAATGATCGTCCCGTTAGCCCCACGCCTGGTGAGGACAATGGCTGCAAGGCTGCGTGGCGGCGACGGTTGATCACCTCTCTGCTCTCTACTCCAGTCCAGGTACATGTACTTACTTGTATTGCCAACCACGACTCGGTGAAGGTGTCACGGTCCGTCCTGTCACTCTGCCCGTTTTGCTCTGTCTGTCGTGGAGAAAAAAACAGACCCGTGGAGTGCAGTGCAGTGCAGTACCTACATACAATACCTTCCATTTTACAGTACCTTCCTCTACCGATTACACCGCTCCGCTTTCGTTACACAGTCCATTATCATTGAGAGTAGTGGACACCCTCCCCCCCTCCCCCCATCACACTTACTGCTGCTGCTGTTCCTGCTGCCGCCGGCACACCGCGCCTTACCTCGCCTCGCCGCCTATACCCGCCCCGTGCGACATGCGAAAAACAGTCGACGAAAGCCGCTGCTGGAGTGTTCGAGCCTCAGGACGTCGAAGCAGTCAAAGGCCGCAGCAGAAGACACAGACGGCGCCCACATTCATTCCTTCATCATGAGTGATAAGGCGTCTCGGCGACGGAGTGGGGCGTGGAGTTCTGATGTGTTGGAGCAGGACAAGCCGCGCAGCAAGAATCGCTGGGGTAAGGAGAAGTACAGGACGATCAAGGATGCAGACAGACCGCCCAAGTCTCCCATGTCCACCAGCAGTACGCAAACAGAGGCTAAGCCCACCACCACTACCACCACCACCACCTCCTCCTCCTCCGCTGCCGCCGCCACTACCTCCTCCACCGGCACGGGCACCACCAACACCAGCACCACCACCAGTAGGGCCGTCAGTAGACGGCCCTCAATGGGTCTGCGTCAAGGTAGCACTGCAGTCAACAGCAGTGGAACGCAGACCATTCGGGCGGTAACACCCGAAAACGAGCACACGGGAAGGGACGTGTCAATGGACCACAATGACCACAATGACCGGAATGGCAACGGCAATCTCCCTGTCAACACCATGAACTCGACGAATTTCGAGCAGGTTTTCATCCCGCACACGACAACCACTATTGTGGGCGGGGCAGCAGCGCGCGACAGCCCGGGTGCCTCATCGAGCAGAAGCAGACGCCGCGGCGATCGCGACCGCGACCGCGACAGGGACCCAGATCACAGCCACACCATCAGTCCGGCCAGCAGCAGGAACGGCAGTGTCAACATCTCCAGTACCTCCTTTCTCGCACGTAGCGGCAGCGGCAGCAAGAGCAATGGACAGCGCACACAGGGCATCATGGCAGAAAGTGATACGTTTCAGCGTCCGCGCACGAGCACCAGCGCGAGCGAAGAGCAGCGTCGAAGAGGCTATGGAGACTCGTCGCTCAATGCGAAGATTAAGCAACGGGTCGGCAGCGTGCAGTCGCCATCATCGCCCATAGGTGGAGCGGAGTATCTGGCGTCGGTGCCAGCGCCGACAGAGCCTCTCACAGCACCCTCTGTTTCATCGCTCGGCTCGCCTGTGGGATCGCCTTCCCACACACCGCATGGCCACCGCTCCATCTCACCCGTCTCCACCAGCACGGCCGACTCGATAACATCGGCTCTCCCCAGTGCGAATGTGAGGCGCATTCTCCATTTGGCCAAAACCTTGAATGGCAGAATGAGTGGCAACGTCATCTTTCGTCGCGGTCATGGAAATCCATGGAGTCAAAGCTATTGCTACATTCACGAAGAAAGTGGCAGCCTGATGTATGAATCGAGAGGCAGCGAGGGCGCTCACAAGACGCTGATCCCGGAACTGCGAGGCTCATCTGTGAGATCGAATCTGGATGGAGACATGCCTTACCTCGAGGTGACATTTTTAGACCGACCAGACGAAGTTCATATCAAGCTGCAGACACAATCTGACTTCGATGCTTGGTATGCGGCTCTATTGCACTGGACACCCAGAGACTCGAGTTCCGTCAGTAGTAATGAGACTCGTCCGAATGCAGACAGCACCAGGTCATCGACTATATCCGAACACACCAAGCGAAGAGCTTCTGTGAACAACCCTGTCAGTCCCACGACAAGAGATCGTGCTGCTAGCAACAGGAGTCACAGGAGCGATCGCCGGAAATCCGTCATAACCGCCCAGCCCAAGGAGAACCCTGTCATCAAGATTGGTAAGATGATTTACTGGGATACCAACATCGGACATAACAGCTCGAGCGCCTCTGGGCTTGGACAACCATCGTCGAGCAGGCCGAAATCCAATAGGATGCAAAGTGTGGGCTCGCGCAGATGGAGACGTATCAGTGGGCAACTGCGCGAGAACGGTGAGCTGAAGCTCCACTCCGACGCAGACAACTCTTTGATCTCGGTGGTACAGCTGAGTCAATTGAGTCGGTGCGCCATACAGCGACTGGACTCGAGTGTTCTGGAGAACGAATTCTGCATTGCCATATACCCACAGTATACGGCAAGCTACACCAACACACAGCCAGGATTCATTCGACCCATCTTCTTGAGCTTGGAGAACCGCGTGCTGTACGAAGTGTGGTTCGTACTGTTACGTGCCTTCACGATGCCTTCCATATATGGACCACGCATCGATGCAGAGCACGAAACGGGCAACCAAGGCTCCAACCGAGACCTCGAAAGCATGATAGCAACAAGTACGACTTATACCTTCCGGATGGAACGGAGCCTGAGCGTCAGGGTTGTCGAAGCTAAAATGCAGTCTCCCAATGCTGGCGAATCCAGTTCGGGTCTTGGCAGTGGCTTCAGCAGACAACAGGCCCATGGGCATGGTTACTATGCAGAAGTACTCCTGGACAACGAGACCAGAGGCAAGACGGTCGTCAAATACGAGGGTCTGAATCCATTGTGGGGTGAGAGTTTCGAATTCCAGGATCTGCCACCCGTACTCAACAATGCGAGCGTGATTATCAAAAGGCGGCCGCCTGAGCATGAGCATTCCAAACAGGACAGCAAACACAAAACGCACGACACATACGGCGAAGAGCAAGGCGGCTTCACGAGTCTGGCATATGACCACAACTGCGGCAAGGTGGAAATTCAGATGGAGGAGCTCGAGCCGGAGAAGGAAGTGGAGAAGTGGTGGCCAGTGACGAACATGCATGGACAGCATGTGGGCGAAGTATTGATCAAAGTTCGTGCGGACGAAGGCATCATTCTCATGGCGCGCGACTATCAGCAGCTGAGTGAGTTGTTGCACCGGTTCTCGAATGGCTTAACGCTACAGATCGCCCAGATGATACCCAGCGAGTTGAAGAGGCTCAGCGACAGCCTGCTCAGCATATTCCAGGTATCGGGAAAGGCTGGTGATTGGATCATGGCATTGGTGGAAGAGGAGATTGATGGCAGTCACAAGGAGACGCCCATCACGAAATTGAGGTACAGCAGACGTGTGGGCTCCGAAAGCAGCGGCGACCCGCTTGGAACTGGAGCTCCCAACAGTGATCGCGAGCTGGTCGTGCGCGATCTTAACAAGAACGCCACTCTCGAAGCAAACTTACTGTTCAGAGGCAATACGCTGCTGACTAAGAGCTTAGATACTCACATGCGACGCGTGGGCAACGAGTATCTGCAGGGCTCACTCGCTGCCAAGCTCCAGGAGATCAATGATAAGGATTTGGACTGTGAAGTGGACCCGAACCGTGTTGGCTCACCTCAGGATGTGGACCGCAACTGGAGGAGGCTGTTACTCTTCACACAAGAAGTCTGGAAAGGTATCGTGGCGCACCGACACAGGTGTCCGATCGAGCTCAGGGTGATATTCCGACACATTCGCGCGTGCGCAGAAGATCGGTACGGAGACTTCTTGCGGACCGTCAGCTACAGCAGCGTCTCCGGATTCTTGTTCCTCCGCTTCTTCTGCCCTGCTGTGCTCAACCCCAAGCTGTTTGGACTTCTTACTGGTGAGTGGAGGATCATGCCGCCATGGCGTCGCAGTCAAGCTAACATTCGTGCAGATGACACCAAGCCTCGAGCACGCCGCGCGTTCACTCTGATTGCGAAGTCGCTGCAGACCATGGCGAATATGGCCTCCTTCGGCACCAAGGAGCCGTGGATGGAGCCCATGAACGCGTTTCTGGTTCAGCATCGCGAGGGCTTCAAGACCTTCATTGACGATATTTGCCATGTGCCGACGCCGATTTCAGGCAGTAGCTTTCCCAATTCCGGAGCGTCGCCAACCTGGCCATCCGACATCGTGAGCACCGAACGACATCTGAGCTACACCACACCCATGACAATCATGCAACGACTGCCACCCAGTAGTCGAGAAGGCTTCCCGAGCTTGCCGTATCTCATTGATCAAGCCAGGTCTTTTGCGGACCTGATCCACCTCTGGCTGGAAGCACTGGCGGCACTATCAAGCAGCCATGATTCAGCGGCATTGCCAGGAAAGACACATAGCGACATTGTCAACGCAATCAATGCCTCGGGGGGCGATCTCCGGGAGTTTCACGAGCTCTGCGAAGAGCTGAATGCCCGGACACAAGAATGCCTCAATCGCGCCGAGCGCGCCGAGCGACCTGATAGTCCCGGCAGTTTCCAGTGGGAGGATGTGATCAACCAGCTGCAGAAATCTCACGTGCGAGGTCAGCCAGCCAAACCAGGCCAGGACCCCTTCGACGTGGTGGCAGAGAGGATTGCTACTGATCCATCGATACTGCCAGACGATGCCAACCCAGCAATCGAAGCTACACTTGCACAACTTCGGGGCGAGCCTGCTTCCGAGGCCGTGTCGGATGACGATCTGACGAAGAGTGCATATGGCGAGCGCTACATCCCCTCTGCTGAAGCGGCTGTACCCGGCATGTCCCGATCGCAAAGTGAATACACTGTGCGACCCGGATCGCACAGCCTGGACGGCAGTACAGTGGGTGGCAGCACTTTTTCGGGCGGGATGAAACGCGATTATCCGCAGAGCATCGGCTCCCCCCATGCATCTGTCAGTGCAAGCATGAGCAGCGCGTCCGGAATTTCGACTGCTGTGACCAGCGATACCGAGCGCCAGATGACAACCGCTCTGCCATGTTACCAGAGGGAAATTAGCCATCGGGAACGACGAGAGGCTGCCAAATTATTGATCCGGTCCCAGGTGGAAGCGGATCGAGTTCGAGACAAGGAGAAGAAAGAACGGAAGACGAACAAGCTGATTCCTCCTGGATTACGAAAGAAGAAGGATAAGGATGTGCCATCACGAAGCGCTACCAGCACGCCATTGGAAGGGCAGTGGAAAGAAAATGGCGTGATTTGATGACTGGGTTGTGACACATTGGAATATGAGCGAGCATTGCGTTGTTGTGTCGTGAAAAGCACGAACTGAGATACCTATTTTTTGTTGTCATGTATCTTTTGGAGAGGAGAAGGAGGAGGCAGGGAATTTCGGCTGAATTTCATGGTGTGGTAACGTGTGATCAGGAAGATCCGATCGTGACGAAGGGGCGGTGGGAACAGACATTATCAAGCAGCTGAGAAATAGACGGAGTGGTTCCCTGTTGTCGTGGCCGACCAGATATCTGTCAGATTCTGTCCGCAGAAAGCCAGCGGTAGCATCGATATAGGAAGAGCAGTTTTGCTGGAATACTACGACCTCGTGTCCATTGGTGAACCGCGCGCGTATGCATCTTTCACCTTTGGAGAAGTCCAGTAATGGTAATCAATGCCTCCCCCCATTCCGCTCAGCGGCTCCGGTACCTAGGTACCACTCCTACTACTACACCATATACGTACATCCCTACCTACTGGTCCTACTCCTAACGAATGCTCTTGCGCCCCCTTTTTTTATTTTTGTAAAGTCTAATTAAATTCCCAGGGAGATCATGCATTTGTTGGTTGCAAGCTCAGAATAGTAGGACAAAGAGTGAACTAATAGGGGCCGCCAGCTGGCAATACTAGGTATCTAGTAAGGTACCTACCTACTGTGCCTACCAGGTACCTTGAGCCTTTAGGTATCTACATACGGGCCCTGCGCGGATGCCGGAAGCGTGCCATATCGCTGGGAATAATGGAACCAACAACATTGCACAGATTGCTAATTTGAGACCGATGGGGACGGAAAGAGCCATGGTATCAATGGACAAACTCAATCGCGGCGATAAACAGTCACTCGAGTGGAGACATAGTATGTTCGACATTGGCAAAACGAGGACGCGCATGGTCGTAACTATTTTCATTATTTCGTCTAGGAGGTAGTCTATCGCTCATTTTGTCTGTCGTATTGACGTTACGCTTGAACGCTCGTCAATTGCATGTCCCGGGTTCTCTCAGCCGACATGCTGTTGCCTGAGAGCCAAATGCACCCAGTGCGTATGGCGTCAGTACAGGCGTGATTGCTGTGTGCTGCTGGAAAGAGGGGAACATCTACGCGAAGGCTTTGCTGAAGGCTTTGCGCTCCTTGGCCTTGCGGTCAGCAGCCGCCTTCTTGACAGCTACCAGTTCATTCTTGATGGCCTGGTCGTCAGGCGCCAGCTGTGCTGCTTCTTCGAGGAACTGTTGAGCGCCCTCTTCATCCTTGCATGCCTTTAATGCCACGCCCTTCCGGAAGAGTGTCTTGGCCTTTTCTGAATCCGAGATTGGCACCACGACTGCGGCCTTGTCTGCAGATTCGTACGATGCTCTATATCTCCCCAGTTTAAATGACATCAACGAACTATTGGTGTGTAGCGAAATCTTCAACTTCGCTAGTTGTGAACCGAGCTCGGGTGGATCGTTATCGAGGGGCGCTGGGTACTCGTGCAGGTACTTGAGAGCCTTCTCATATTTTGATAATGCCAATTCGAGTTCACCGCTCTTGAATGCCTTGTTTCCCATCTCCTTCAAGTCTGTCACAATCTTCACGATCTCTGTCCCATTCCAGTCCTCGCCTTCTTTGGGCTGGTCTGCTGGGTAGTCCTCGTAGGTATCACCAGTGCTGTCTGGGGCCTTTCGTGTGAGCTCATCGACGTTCGTACCCTCTGGCAGCTCACCACAGTCGTCAATATTGACTGCGTTCTCGGGCTTGTCGTTCGGTCCCACAGGAGTCTCCTCGACAGCACGAACAACGCTCTTGCCTGCAATGACCTCTCCGAACACGACGTGCTTTCCATCCAAGTGCGGCGTTGGCACAGTCGTCACGAAGAACTGGCTGCCATTGGTGCCCGGTCCAGCATTCGCCATGCTCAGCAGGAATGGCTTCTCGTGCTTGAGCTGGAAGTTCTCGTCGTCAAACTTCTCGCCATAGATACTCTCGCCTCCCGTTCCATTATGAGCAGTGAAGTCACCACCTTGAATCATGAAGCTCTTGATGACACGATGAAAGCCCGAGCCTTTGTAATGAAGCGGAGCTTGAGACTTTGCACTTTTGCCCTTTTCGCCTGTGCACAGCGCACGGAAATTCTCGGCAGTCTTGGGCACAATATCGTTGTATAGTTCGAAGACGACCTTGCCAGCGGGCTTACCGCCAATTGAGATGTCAAAGAAGACCTTGGGACGTGGAGCCATGGTGGGTAGTGGTGGTGGTGGATGCAGATGAGGCAGTTTTGTGGGGTGGGAGTGGGAGTGGGCTGGTGATTCGGTCGGGGAGCAAAGGTGGGGAGTTGAAGAAAGCGGTCTTGCTGGTCGGAGGAAAGCAGAATCGTCTACGTGTTTTTTATACAAGAAGTAAAAATTCCGTGCAATGGAAGAAGCTGCAGCCCGACAGCTGTTTCTGGAACGTTCGTAGGTAAAAGGGCCCAACCTTGGCAATGGTGGGGTTCGTTCCTGCGTTCCTGCGCTAGTCCGAGGTGCTACTGTATAGACCCTCGTACCTCGTAGTGCACTTGGGTGCATGTGACAGCGCGAACGGACACTTCAGAGCTCCATCACGATGGAAAAGGGGGGAGAATGACTGATCTCAGCAATTCGCTGATTCATCTATTCTAGGCCAACTCAAGTGCACACACACACTACTATCCGAACCAAAACTTTCAGGTCGTCGTCGTAATCATCATCATCGATCTTCAATTCTCTATCGCCTAGGAGGTGTTGCCATCTTCGCTTCCTCCATGTTTGTCTAGGCGGAGCCGGCGTGAGCGTGCTTCGACGGAGCTGGGTGATGCTCGACCGGACCGCTTCCATTCGCATGGTAGGTTGGGTCCTTGTGGAGAATCTCGACTGCGTCGTCGTCAGAAGCCTCGGTCATCTTCTTGAAAGTGTCCCAGTTGGTGACGGCACCGAGGGCACGCTTCATGTGGGCATTCACAATCTGAAGACCATAAACGTAGGATGCATTGACCCAGCCGAAGCCTTCAGTCGCCACACCCTTGAAGTCACCACCTTGATTGCCGTACTCTGCAGCGACCTTGTGCGGATCAATCGGCCGTGTCACGTCGTACTTTTCCACCACAACACCGTTGAAGTCGACGAATGCCTTCGTAACCATGTAGATCCAGCGATACGCAAGTCTCTGTGCTTCTTCCTCGAAGCCATACCGCAGGAAACCCGTCCATGCTAGGATCTGTTGTGGAGCCCAGCCGAATGGGTAATCCCACTGGCGATTGGGCCGGTGCACACCGACGGGACCGCGGCTCTCTTCAGTACCAGACACAAGACCGCCGTGAACTTCAAACTTGGGAAGAGCTTTGGTGACCATCACAGCTGCCTGCCTAGGGGTTGCCGCGCCTGCCCACATGGCCCAGAATGTGGTAGCACTTTCATAACCAGTCTGCTTCTTCTTCACAGTATTGTAGTCGAAGAACATCCCCTTGTCCTCGTCCCACATCAGGTCATTCATGATCTTGCGTCGCTTCTTGGCTCGTCGATCCCAGGTTGACGAAGTTTCCAACTCTGCCTGACCGGGCGCGCGCCATTCCTTGGGGATAACGAGCTTATCGCCGAAGAAGGCACGAATCGTACGTGCAATATCGACTTCGTACTTGTACAAACAAGAATTGGTGTCGACGGTCGCGAGATGAGCGGCTACCTTTTCCAAGCGGTACGAGGTATCGTGTCCAGACTCTCGAACAGCACGATCGTGGAGAAAGTACTCGTCAAGTTCTGGTTCGAAGACATGGCCGTAGTTATATGCATGCACAAACTCCTTGAACGTCATCTTGTGTTTGTCGGCATATGGCTGGAGCACGTGCACGAAGTGAGAAGCCTCTGTCTCTGGCGGCACGCCGAGGCCTCCTGGAACATAACGCGATAGTCCGGACTCGGGGTCATAGCGGGGTGGCGACATCCACGTGGCGTAGTAGTCCTTGATCGCCGCCAGGATAGCGGCGCGAAGGAATTCAAGGCTGTCTGGCTCGTGCTTGATGCGCTCGTAGACACGAAGCGCCATATCGGTGAGGAAGGGAGGTTGCGAGCGGCGCAGGTAGTACGATCGATTGGCATTCAAGATCTTGCCGTAGTGTCGAATGCAAAAGCAAAAGTGCCTCACCATGGCTTTACAGAGATCCTCGCGATCGTTGATGAGCAGACCCAGAGTCTCCATGTAGCTATCCCATCCATACAACTCGTTGAAACGGCCACCAGGTACCACGAACGGCAGTCCCTTGAAGTCTGGCTCCCCTTCGGGAGTGTCTGCGACGCGTTCCATCTCGATTGCGAGCAGACCAGGAGCCTCATTCAAGTCACGAACATATTCATCATCATCAGGACCACCCTCCTTCAGCCATTGAACGTCGAGACGCATCTCAGGGTGTTGCCGGGCAATGCGAGTGTAGTAGGCGTGTTGCTCAGGTGCGCCGAGCGGGATGTATATGCGTGGGCGTGGGTCTGATGTCCAGTCCTTGGGGTCACGGGCTACGGCAGAAATGTTGGATCCATCAATACTTCTGGTGAGATTTGGCCAAAACTGGTCCCTGATGAGACGAGAAAGTCGGTTGACAGGGTTCTCGTTCAGACGTGCCTCATCGAGTACGATCTGCTTGCGGCCATACTTTTTGGCCAGTGTCATCTCTTGCAGCAAATTGCTGAGCATGTATGTGCCGCGCACATCAAAGCGCTTGTATCCTCCCGAGGCTGCTGTGCCCAGCTCGATGGTCTTGGGACCCTTGTCGTCGATGGTAATCTGGACATTCCCATCGGAGTCCTCACGTGAGAGCAGTGTCTTCAGAGTGTCGTCGACGTTGATGAGATAGCGACGGGGGGCATTACCCATCAGATCATGACTGAGCCGTCTGGACGGTGCGCTGTAGTTTTCCGTGCCTACCTTATTGTGACCGGGGTCGACCTGGAGCTGTCAGCATCCATCATTGCTACTCAATGGCTCTATGAAGTCTCAACAGCACCAGTCGTGGGCGGGCCCGAAGCTGACAGATACGCGCGTTGACGCAGACTGGGCAAGTGCATTGCTTACAGCAGAGTATGTACGACTCTTCGCAACCTTTCTAGGGCCGTGGTCTGCGCCATAGTAGACATTGGAGGGAGCGTAGGGATCGAGATCGAGAGAGATATGCTCGTGATGTCCTTTCTCGTTATGGACGTTATTGTGCGGATCCTGCGTGGTGTGAATCGGCAAGGCAGATTTCTGCGAGCTCATGCTCCGCGACGACAACAAAGGTACGAATTGGAGGCGGGAGTTGTGCGTGCGAGAGAAGTTCGTGTAAGTAGGAGGGGCTCGAGTTTTGATGAGGTAGGCGGGTGGATAGCTATGATGCCGGTCAGCGGGCGCGCTCTCCTCGGCTTCATCATTGGTTGTGTTGTGGAACGCGAGCGGACGGACCTTGAGGTGACGGTGACGTTGACTTGAAAAGGTTTTCTCTGGCAAACAATGGGCGAGGTCAAAGAGGAGCTTGTGAAGCGATAACAGCGGTAGGGGAAGCAGAAGGCCCAAGACAACAGAAGGAAGATGGGCGATGGGCGATGGAAGATGGAAGATGACAGATGACAGAGAGAGAGTTGCAGACAACAGAAAGAGACGCTCGCCGACGACTCCTGCCTCTGCTTGCCTCTGCCTTTGCCTCTGCCTCTGCCTCCGCACGAGGATGAGGGCGAGGACGAGGACGAGCGGACGACACGATTGCAGTCAGGAGCTACCTACCTTACCTTATGTGCATACAGCACATGGATGACCCGAACATACACACCACACGTGCGCGCCAGGCAGGGCAAGATCAGTACTATGGGGAAGGATGAGATGCACAAGATACATGCAAGCACAAGTAGCAGTACCTCCTCGTTCTACTTCCCCTTTCCCAGCTACAATCAGAAGGACTGTGGCCTTCGATGGCTGCATGCGGCAGTTCCAACTTCCAGGTTGGTGCAGATCGGCTACATGTATCTTGGTTACATGTATCTTCGGTCGAGCTGCTAGCAGAAGACGGCATCGCGTACATGGTGGGTGGCACAACATCACAGCAGCTGGGACATGTACATCAAGTACCTCAGTTCTCCACCTGCAGTAGAATCTAGTATTCGAACACGCGACCTCCTGGTGCACTTCTTCACACTAACCTCGAGGCTGAACAGCGCTATCACATGTATCTGCTGTGCCACCTGTGGTAGCAGTGCAACGGTACCTCTTATGGACTGTACCATACCTAGGGCTTCGATGTAGGTAATGAGGTATACTTCATGTCTGTCACATGCTCACCACTCCACCTCTCCTCGGACCGCATTGCCTCGAGTAGCTATATTCCGCGTACGGAGATTGGAGGGGATATGTAGAGACGCAGCATGGCATGTCTCGACCTTGTCCCTGATGCCCCCCGTGACGAGGAAGCATTACAGTGCGCAAGTGCCGACGTCCATGTCTGAAGAGACCTAATGTACCTAAGGTATGTAAGGTTACCTAGGTAAGGTACCTACCTTAGGCATGTAGGTATGGTCAATCACAGACAAAGACGACGATGACTTCCAAGGGCCGCACTGCTTGCACACCTCAGATACCCGAATGTACGCGAGCTCCTCTTGCCTTACAGTAAGAATGTAGTATAACGCTAGGCCTCGGCTAGAACTCACTGGTGGAGCTGTCCGCTGGACAGCTCCGACGTGTCTTCCTAGGCCCTAGGATAACAATCCCCCGAACATCACTCTCGTCGAGCACCCATCCATGGCTGGAGGTAGCACCTTCACCTGGGGCCATGCCCTCCGCCTAGACTCGAACAAATCGCCCTTCTCCTCACCCCTTCCCGCGACCCACAAGGCCTTCGCAAACATCAAACCAGTATCATGGCAGCGACACAACATCGGCGGCATCCTCACCACCGTCTACGGAACCGATGAGCTGCCACAGCACCCCGATGAGGTGGTGGCATTATGGCTGCTTCACGGAAGAGGTGACACGCAAGACAGCATGGCATACACAGCAGCCGCAATGCTCGAGGCATGGAACTCCCAAAGAAGGCAACATCAACACCCGAACCAGAAGGGCTTGATATGTATATGCTTTGATCAGAGGAATCACGGTTCGAGAATGATTGAGAATCGGAATAATATCTCTTGGAAGCAAGGGAACCCCACACATGGGCCTGATATGTTTTCGACATATGTCGGCACAGCGCATGATTTGAGTCTATTGATTACACAAGTCCCGTCATACTTGCCCTTCAAGATCCATGATCACATCTGTGGAGGCGTGTCTCTCGGAGGGCATGCGACCTGGGTCGCACTTATGAATGAGCCGCGAATCTCAGCTGGGATGGTGATTATTGGATGTCCCGACTACGTTCGACTCATGACGGATCGTGCGATCAGAAGTAAAGTACAATCTGCCATTTCGTCTGACCCTCCTGGCCAAGATTTCCTGGGTTCGCCCGACTTCCCGCAATCTCTGTTAGCTGCTATTGAGCAGTATGACCCTGCAGGCATTCTGATGGGCGAGCTTGATGTAGTAACGGGAGACGATCATTTGCATTCTCCCTCGGAAAGGGAAGTCCAAGCTCTGCGGCCTGTTGTGGAGCGTACCCTTGCTGGGAAAAAGATCATATGCCTGAGTGGTGGTAAGGACAAGCTGGTGCCGTATGCTCAGGGCAAGATCTTCTTGGACTGGCTCAAGCGAGGTATTAGTGAGGGTGGCTGGGCTGCCAATCAAAAGATAGCACTGGAAGATATCCAAGATCCCCACGCTGGACATGAGTTCTCAGCTGTAATGCGCAAGGAAGCCGAGCGCTGGCTGTGTGAGCTACTGTCAGATGAGACCAGAAGTGCGAACAGAGAAAGTAAACTGTGAAGAGAAGTGTGCACGAGATGGCATAGGCGAAGCTGTGACTCTGTACAATTTCTTTTTAACCTAAACAACTCCCTACTTAATTCTCCCAGGGCGAATGAGGCTAACGCATCAACTCTATCGATTCGGAGTGAATCCAAGATTAGCCAGGTCCTGCAGGAAAGCGGTATCGTTTCTCAACGACGCTCTCTGGATGGCAGCAGTGATGATGCTGGCATAAGACCAGGTCAAGTCCTCACAGCCCTGCGGAAGGCCAGTATTTCTGTTGTACTCCTCCGCGAGCGAGCCATCGGCAGGAGTATAGAACTTGGCTGTTCTCATGAACGCATCACCCCAGCCGTTGAGACTATCGATAACAGCATCAAACTCTGCTGAGCCGCTGCTGTATGTCTCGCCAGTAGTGAGGTTGGCGCTCGGGGCGAAGTAGTCGAAGAACGATTGCGAGGTGTTAGTCACGGCCATGCTACCGGCATCGCTATACTCAGCCGATGCAGTCCAGAAGTACTGTGCGACAGCCGCAGTAGTCAGATACCATGGATTACCTCCATTTTCTTGCGTGCCCGTGCCATTATAGATGTCCTCGGGATATCTCCCGATGGGTACGCCGAGCACCTGTCCAGACGAGTCCTGGGTCACGTTTGCAAGGGTATAGGTTGAAATGAAGCTTGTCACGAACCGGACGACTGTCGATTGAACCTGCTCGTTGGTGTAGCTGTACACGCCATCATTCGCATAGCCATGTATCAACGCCAAGATCACGGCTGCGTCAAGGTATGATGCTTTGTTGCTGAGCACGGGACCGTACTCGTAGAGCAAAATCCCTCTGTTCACGTCCCAGAAGACATCTAGACTCGCGGTGAGTGCATCGGCGGCTTCCTGTAAGGTCGATGCCGTGGCGTTGTCGCTGACCGTGGCGGCAAACTTGGCTCCCATGACCAACGCCCTGCGCTGTACCATTCTGGTATAGAAGTGGTCAGAACTTTGCTCTTCCCACAGGTCAAAGCTGGGAGAGGTCCAATTGCGAGCCACGAACAGAAGATCCTTCTGCACTGGTGCCACATTCGGATACGTGGTGGAGTCATATATTTTCTGAAGGACGGTGGTCTGGTTGCCACCAGCTGCCATGTAGCTCTCGGCGAACTCCATCAGCGTAATGGCAGCAGTGGCGGGTCCGTCATTTTGCGGTCGTCCCCACGGGCCGGTGAAGACGGTGTTGTTGAGGTAGAACTTGGGCTCCCCCAGGCCAGTCTGCAGATTCGGGTCATTCTGCTCGACCGCTCGGGCCATGGCATAGGCGAACAGTTGGTCTTCATATGCTTGCTTGGCGTCGGCCTCAGTGGCTGCTGCGTACAGCTGTTGCACCACTTCCATGGTGAGGGAGGAGTCTCGGACCCAGTCGTATTCGTAATCTGGAAGCTTGCTCTCGAACGATGGACCACTCCGACCCGCCACGACGACCCCGTCGACCGCTCCGGTGATGTTCGGGTCGATGTTGCGGAACATCTTGCTGTATGAAGCAGTCACTTGGGATCCATTGGACGCTGCGAGCCATGATGTAATGTCGTCGCCGAAGCCGAGAGGCATGGCATACGGTGCAGGTGGTGCAGCAAGAGTTGGTTCGGGCTCACCACTCGCCACGACGGTCTGGTTCAATGACTGGGTGTATACGGTTCCCAGGTCGACCACGTTGTAGGTCAGATTAAGCAGCTGGGTGATACCATCGACATATGCGAGCGTGCTGGAGCCCCAGATTTCGAAATTGGTATTTTCGACTCCATTCTGGTAGCTCAAGGCCACTGAGGCCAGTGGTGTGCTTCGTCCTTGGCGATCCGTGTAGTAGAGAGTGACCTGTTTGTTGTACGCGAGATTATTGATGTACGCCGTGGTATTGAGCACACCGCCGCAATAGCTGAAACTGGAGAGGACCACGTTGGTGTTGCTGTCGGAAGGTGCACTCGTTGTGAGCGTGGTGGTGTCGCAAGCCTGAGCAAACGATGTTGCGGCGAGCATACAGCCCGTCAGGACATGTACCAATATTCCCCCCGGGGGCCCCATGGTTGGTGCTGATATAAACAACAACAATGGGATTTGTGAGAGTCGAATACAACGGGTATCACGTAGGAGGTATATACAATAATAAGGTACATGTAAGGTAGGTATTATTTTCATTCTCTCCCCGTGGCAAAACAGACTACTGTACCTTACCTTGCGGGCAGACGCTACACTACAGTAGAGTAGTGGTATGCACATGTGATGTGGCCTACCAGATGCATGAATGGGAGTATCCGAGAATCTCACCGACAGCACCAGCAGCGGTACGCGTGCAACAGGTGCATGTTGATCTTGGTTTGCTTGGGTGCTTTGGTGCTGATCTGGAGCAGAGCGTTTTGATTCGTGAGAGGGCAAATGAATGTGTCGACAGAGTGCGGGCCGACCTCACCGCACCCACCTTTTCGTCCGCGGACTCCGGAGAACAAAACGTGGAGCATGCACCAGTCACCACTACCACCTATCAAAGACGTCCTATACCTGTACCTCCTATGAAAAGACTATTATTGTTTTCATTATATTCGCCCGTCCACGACACACGCGGTTACAGCGCTGGCCATCTCCTCGCCCATGACTCGTGGGAAGCCGCCGAGTGCGAGTGTTGTTCCGTCCTCGCAAGAACACGACTCGGAAGGATACGGCGACAAGCTTGAAGCAGGACAGAGATACTTGTTGCCTTCTCCGGGGGATGTTGATACAGCAAGCGGTATGGAGGACCTCCAGGAGACTCATGATAGTAGGTAGGTGTAAGAGCGGATGCGGCTGGCTGTCTCTCGATGCGAGAACGGTGACGAGAGGAATGACAGGGACAAAGATTGGAGGACTGAACACATTGTTGGATTGTGGGAGGATATCCAGCTCGCTCGTGGTTAATGCACATACTGCTAGTCCATAAGACGCTCGTTCAGCACTGTATACCTCCTACCTCCTACTGATCATGGAGATGGAGATGGAACTACACGGCACTCAAATTACTCGGATTGGCACATTTGTCTCGATCAACTTCTACTTTCGCTTCCTCTCTGTCTCGAGCATACATGTATCTCAAGTGATGTTACCGCATTTTGATTGATGATCAATCTCCCTTCCCGTTATCCTTCTGTCCGGGCTCCAGCCACTCTCCCAGCCCTCGTCTACTCCACATCCCTCTTCATAGAGCGATCCTGAACGTGTGACACAGCAAAATCACCAAATCCAAGTTGACATCTATCTCTGTCACGACACAACACATCACAAGAATACCTAACCATGTCCGGCTTCAAGAAAATTGTCGACGCAGTGCAAGCAGCCTCCGCTTCCAGCCCCGCATATTGCCGAGAGCTGACTGATATTCGACCAGGCTCACGAGCAAATACAACAAACCGTTTCCCGTCACCCTACTACCCTCTGCGATCGGCTATTACTTGGGAGTGCAGTCCGGCAAGCGACAAGCTGAAACACTGGAGGAATTTCGTGGTGTCCACCAAGAGAATCAAGCCATGTTGAGGCAGATATCCAATAATTCATCGAAATAGTGTTCCCATCACACAGCTTCAAGCCAGGCCAGGCCAGGACCCCGCTATGCCAACTGGAGACTGTTTGGGACTTTGGGTCTACATGGGGTCGACGTCCGTGCTGATGGCCCCCGTGCCAACGCGTGGCTCCTGACAAATAAGGAACATAAACGAGCAAATGTAAGGCTTCGTCATCAATACAAGGCACTTTGGCGGAGTGGTTAACGCGCTGGCCTGCTATTGGAACTGTACATGTCACATGTACTCAACTGTATAGCCAGTTCCTTCGGGAGCGTGTGTTCGAATCACACAGGTGTCGCACCAAGCTCTTTCTCTTTTTGGTTTTTGTCGCTATATCATGCTTTTGGTTGCAGGGTAGTAATTGTGCAATGCTTATTATATGCGTGACCTTCATCTGCTGCCTGACTCCGCTATCAATGATTTCCTTCCCATGTACCTTTTTTATTCGGAGCGCGCTTATACCACGCACTACAGCAAGCGCCCCAAGATACAGATTCTATAGGTACATGTACACACCACCTCCTTGGGGAGGCACACATTTTCCTTACCCCTTCTGCTCAAATCGCTTAGCAGCTTGCTTAACCAAACCGCCACCCACGCTGCTCGAAGAATTACCAACCTGATCACTCGCCACCAACTTATGCTGACCCAGAACATCACGAGCTCGCGTCCGGTTCTTCGACAGCGAGCTCACCGTGCTCGAAGCGAACGCGGGAGGCGCACTGGCATGCAAACTCTTATTCACTGAGGCCGAGCCTTCATCGTTATTCTTGCTAGACGGCGATGTTAAGTCCAACGAAGTGATATTCTCCCAAGATGCTGATGTCCTCTCGAAGTCGACGGTGATGATAGAAGAAGGTGTGCTGGATACATGAACCGAAAGTGAGCGCTTCGTGGAGATTGGACTTGGAGTGTGGAATATTGCCGGAGCAGGAGCAGGGTTACGATAGTGGTGGTCTGGAGTCTTGACGGGCGAGGGTGTTGAAGCTCTCAATAATGACCTGCTCTGCACGCCCCTCGTCGAAACTGGCGACTCATCCAAAGAGAACTTGCGGACGCGACGAACGATGGACGGTGTGCTAATGGTTCTGATTACCCGGTGTGTGGAAGTCGGTGGCTTGGACCAGGTTCTTGCAAGCGCGTTGCGAGTCTCTGATGGAAACTGGACGCCAATGTGCCTGAATCTTCTCGTCGGCGTTGCTGGTTCGCTTACTGCTCGATCACACAGCTTCGATGATGAAGAAGGTGTAAGCTCTTTGGGAGTTCTACTGCGGCCTCGAGACTGAAACGGGATCACAGATGCCATCGCCTTCCTGTCAACGAGCTCTTCCGAGCGACGTTTTGTCGTGACTGTGCTTGGTATCAAGAGATTTCTCGTGAGGAGCAAGGTTTGGATTTGGATTGGATGGGTCCATGATCCAAGCTGGATGAGACTATCGATGGCATCGATCGTGAAGACTGCTGAAGCATACATGGCGAGTATTCCCACAGCGGCCAGCCAGGTGGAAATGTACAGCTCCAAGTCTGCAATCTGGAATCGGTAGAGGATAGTTGGTGATATGAGTACCATGGCGCAGCTGATGACGGAGCCCATGATGGCCAAAGTAAGCTGTATGGCTTCTATTGCGAACGCATGAGCCATCGTAGTCTTCGACAAGCCCGTGGTGGTGTTGGCCGAACGGCTGTTGGAGTATCTGTATGCGAGGCTGAGAGCCACCGAAACAGCGACAAGCACGAGTGGGATACGAAGCAACATGATGGCAATGGTCAGTATGTTTGCACTCGTGAAGGGACTGCCCAAGTTATTGAGAAGGGGAAAAAAAAAGATACATTTTGAATGCCAGATGCAGCGTTTGCCGTCTCGAATGCTGCTGTACGGACAAGTGAGACATACACAGCACATGTCTCGCTTGTTCGTCTTTGCTCAGTGAACCTCCGCCCCAGATACACGTTGCTGCGGTATTCAACAAGATAGAAGTATGGAACGGCCAGCAAGATGTTGGAAGTTTCCCTTTTCTCCTAGCCCAGTCCTCGGCAGAAAACGCCTCACTATCATGCCTACATGATGAACAAGCCCAACAAGGCGAAATGAACTTTGTACACGCTTTCATCGCCTTCTACCGTCTCATGGGCTTGCCACCTTGGAACTTCCGTTGCCCGGGCTGGCTTCCATAGTTTCGTCTCGCTTGGTCGGGCTTCTTCATACTCGCTCCAAGGTTGATGTCGACTTTCGGAGGAACAGAGAATCCAAAACCTTTTGCCACTTTCTTGAGATCGAGCTTGTGGATATCGAAGACTGTACGCAGAGAGTGTGATGCGTAGGCTTGGAGGTAGGATCTGTAGCCATCTTTGGCCGACTGTGATATTTGTCAGTATAGGATTCATGAATGAGAGACGTATGGACTTGCCTTGTTGAGATAGTAATTCTTGCCGATCAGCATTTCCAGTTGGGACTGAATATCAAGAATCTTCTTGGGCGGGATCTCGAACTCCACGAGAGGCACTTTGGCTTCCTTGAGATGTGACAAAAAGCCTACTTCGCTGGGTTGCAAGAACATTAAACTCTTTCCTTTGGCGTTAGCACCTCGCGCAGTACGTCCGACGCGGTGAATGTAGTCTCGTGGGTCGTCCGGGGGGTCAAACTGCACAATCCAATCCACAGCAGGGATATCGAGACCTCGTGCCGCCACGTCTGTGCAGATGAGCGTTCCTGAAGTTGCGTTGCAGAATTCGAAGAATGTATTCGTCCGTTTCTGCTGCTTTTGCTTTCCGTGGAGGTCGAGGACTGGAAGATCGATGTAATTCAGCAGTTCGGAGTAGTATTTGACGCAATTGCAACTGCTGAAGAAGACGATGATCTTCTTCTTCGGGTGCCGTTTGAGGAAGGTGAATAGTAAGCGAAACCGCATGTCGGAGTCACAAATCACGTAGCCTTGCTCGAGACCAGCGACAGTGCTATACTCTTGCTTGTCATCCACGTTGATGTATAGCGGTCGCTCGCGAAGTGACACTCGCGCGAGATCTGCAACTTTCGTAGTTTGTGTGGCAGAAAAGAGCATGGTTTGGCGGTCTTCCTTGGGCAGAATCTTGACAATCTGGCGCATTTCATCTTCAAATCCAACCTCCAAGATTCGGTCAGCTTCGTCAATGACGAGAGCTTTGACGTTCTTGAACACAAATCCTTGCGTGTTCTGCAGATGGTCGAGGAGTCGTCCAGGAGTGGCAATGAGCAGGTTGACACCCTTGGCCAACTTCTCCGCCTCCGCTCTCCGATTCGCGCCTCCGATGACAATACCAAATGTTTGTGAATGATGCTCCATCAATTCTCGTGCCACGCCAAAGATCTGGAGTGCCAACTCCCTTGTGGGCGACACCACAATCACACCAGTTCCATTTCGCGGCTTGAAACGCAGCGCGTGTAACAGTTCCACACATGGTATCAGGAAGGCCAACGTTTTTCCCGAACCAGTCTTCGCTGCTCCCAAGACATCCTTTCCTGCTAGAAGAGGCCCCATAGCTCTTCGCTGGATCTCGGTCATGTTCTCGAACTTCATCTCGTTGATTGCCCGCATCGTCTTTTCACTTAGATTGACATCAGTGAACTTCTGCGGTTCTTCGGCAGTATTGGGCAGTGCCACCCCGAGCTCTGAGGGAAGATCTGTGGCCTCGCCAGCATGTCCGTTCTCTTTAGGCACTTCTTCTTCTTCTTCTTCTTCTTCCTCTTCCTCTTCCTCTTCTTCCCGGTCCTCCTCGTCTTCTCCTTCTGGCTCTACACCATTCTCTACAGTCTGGTCCACATCATCAGATTCGAATTGAGCGAACTCCTCTTCATTCCCGTCCCCCGACTCTTCCTCTGCATGAGCACCGGCATCTGTGGCGGCTTCTTTCAGTTCCTGATTGACCTGATCCTCTGCCTCTCCCTCGTGCGCTCCCTCCGCAGTTCCCTTTTCCGCTTTCAGTTGCTCCTTCAGTCGCTTCTTTTCCTCTTTGCGCAGTTTCTTTGACTTTTTCTGACTGGACTGCTCCTCTGGCGCAGAGTCGTCGTCCTCAACTTTCACTACTGGGGCCGCGACCACCTTGGCCTTTTTCTGCTTGACAGCATCGCCGTTGACAGGGCCTTCGCTCTCGTGCTTGCGCTTCTTCTGCTCCGTCTTGGCCTTCTTCACAGATTTTGTGCCGTCCTCGACGCGGCCCTTGTGTTCCATGGCGGGCGACGGCAAGCCACCCGACATCAGCGCTGGATTGGAAGGTCTGTTGTTGCTGTTGGGCCGCTTGCGCTTGGTAGAATCGCGGATAAAGTCGTTGTAAATCGTATCGGGCTTCCAGGACATGAACATGAGGATATCGAATTGTTGCTACAGATGGACAGAGCTTCTCTAAAAAATTATAGCGGGTAGAAGTGCGGGAGCATTCCATACTCTCTGCCCGCTCCCGGCGCCTCGGTCCGCTCCCTTCCAATCTAGAACTATTTCCAAATTCCAAACTTGTTCTTCTTCTTGCCTCTACCACGCTTTACTTTGCTACTACCACCAACAACAGCAACAGAAACGGCGAGCCAGCGACACACTCTCTAGTATGATATGATGCGCTCAATATGGCTTGCGAATCACAGAAGCCGTCTACTCGCCGTCTCCGGACATAAGAGGCACCACCGTTGAGACAGCAAGTCGCACGTGATCATTCCCAACAAACATCTTTCCAAGTTCCAACCAAGACGAGAATGAGATGATGCTTCGGAGTTGCCACCAGAATCGCTATACCGCACGTGTCATGCTCGCCGTTCGCGAACAACGAAGTCTTCTCCGAAAATACTCATGGAAATTAGATTCGCCGCTGTTCGCTATACATTTCTTTGTCCGCCTACGAGCACAATTGCAACAAAGACCGTCTTTGCCACGATGTGCACACTTGCTTATATTCCCTTGACGTCGTCCGTTTGCAGCCTCTGTCCTTTCAGATATCAAATCATCTCCCATCTGCACATTGGTATTCTGCTGGCAGAACCACCGTTACCTTGCTACACCTATCTCATCAGCCTCCCGAGCAAGCAGAACCCCAACTGCAACCACATACAATGGCAAAAATTAACCATGGGAAGCGAAATAATAACCCGCAGCAGGACCAGTATGGCAATCAGATGCAATATCAGAACCATAACCAGTATCAGAACCAGTATCAGAACCAGTATCAAAATCAGAACCAGAATCGGAATCAGAATCAGAATCAGAACCGAAACCAGGATCGAAGCCATAATCAAAATTCGAATCAGAGAAACCAGCAGGGCCCCAGTTGCGCTGGCTGTGGGCAGACAGGACATGCTTTCAATCGCTGCGGCAGAAATGCCAATGGCGAAAAGCCGTGGAGATGCACATTCAAAGGATGCCTGAATCCCGTGGCTGACCACATGACGAAAGATTGTCCTATGAAGAGAGCATACAATACTGTGAACAATCCGCCCAAGCAGGGTCAGCAGCCGTACGCTCAGTCCAATAACGTGGACAAGTCCAATCTCTACTGTGACCACTGCAGGAAACGGGGTCACGCCAAAATCGATTGTCGTGCACTCAGCAGATATGGGGCCGATGCGACCATGACATCTCCCCTTTCAACGTCACAGCCCTATTGCAAATACTGCAATTCGACAGCGCACACCACAGAAGTATGCACTAATACCGCAAATTGGACTGCATACCAGCCGAGTAGATTGAAGTGCTCTCGTTGTACATTACGCGGTCATACGAGCAACTCCTGCAACAACCCGGCCGGCAAGGACTGTGCCTACTGCTTGGCACCTGGTCATGAGAGAATGGAGTGCCCGCAAATATCCAATTGGAGGAGACAGGGATGCAAAACACCCACTACTGCTGTTCGTCAGACCTTCAGACGTGGGGGTGACACGGCCAGCCGATCTAAATTCGAAGTGAAATTTACCGATAAATTGCACCCCACTCAGAACAAACGCCGAGTCCTCGAAGATTGGCGATTGGAATATCTACAGTCCGTCGGTCACATGACTGAGGTGGACAGGCTCAATGCCGAGTCGCGGATGGATCATCTGGAGCAGGAGATCTTGGAGGAGGAAAGACATATTTTCGAGCCGGCTCCAAATCCACTTCTCCTTCGGCGAAAGTCACAAGTCCTTGGTAGTACTGGTGGCACACGCCCAACCAGAAACAAGCCGCAGATTAGAGCTTCTTCCATTGCTGCCTATCATGGTCGCAGCCCCTCCTGGGTAGAACACGTGGTGGCAGAAGCCCTGGTCAAGGACAGGAGCAAGGACGAGAACAAAATCTTTCAGAAAATCGCTAAGTCGCGAATTGCCTACTCAGCCGAGGACTACGGATCCAAGATTTTGCAATATGAGAACGTTATCCTCAATGCCGGAATTGGAATCACTCGAGCTCGTATGAACGATGTCAAGGCGGAACTTCTTCGTGGTACCAAGATCTACCGTGATCCCCTCACGATAGCAGCTTTGTTCGGTCGCAAGATTCCAATCTGCTCTACGTGTGGCGAACATGGCGCCGTCTTCGATAAAGTCTTCAACCTCGTTCACCCCATGACTACTGCCACTGAGCTGTATAGCGAAATTGACGATACTTCTCATCCGGGTTGGGGTCTGTTCATCTTGTTTCGGTGCACGTCGCGTTGCTCGAGCAATGGCTATCACTTCGTCAAGATACCGAAGTCGATCATCGGCAATATTGATATGACTGATCCTCAGTATAAGCCTTGGGGCGATCTCGCTTGGGAGGTGCGTTGAATGGACAAGGACGAGGTGGATTGGTTGTACTTATTGTTTGGGGGGAAGGAGGAGTGGGAAGGGGGGTCGCATATTTGTTACCTTGGTTCAATGATGTTTCTAGAGCGTATTAGGTATTTCTCTCATTTCATGCTGTTTCATATAACCCCTTTCACCTCGCTGTCCTGTACAGTAGTTCGTATGCTGCTGCTGGGACAATGCGCGACAATCACATCCATTCCAGCAGTGAGTTCTCATGCCTCCGTTACCCGTCTCGCTTTTCTGCACGTCCATCTCCGGACAGTGTGAGTAGGCAGGCATGAGATTGCCCATCTCACTTTGTGTTTCGAATGGATTCGCATGAGGGAGATGTTGTGGCTGTCTACCAAGTGTCATTCTAGGCAAACTCTACTTGCACAACGTCTTCCTCCTTACTCGTGCGTGACACACACCCTCTTGCCGGATCTTGTCTGTCACCCGATCTAACCCCCTTAACACCCCAAATGTCCTTGATCAAGGACGCCAAAGTCTGAAAGTATGCCCACTCCAACAGACGCATTACGCATGTTACACTCTCATCTCTTCCGGCTTCTACTCTTGGCCTTTGAAGGTCCACCTCCAGAAGCATTCGTGTCGACACTGCCTGCGCGAGAAGTACCGTTGGGAGTGCCCTTGATACCATTCACAGCTTTGTTCTGCGATCTCATGTTAGCCTTTCGACCTTTGCTGGCGCTACTTCCCGCTTGTCTTACTTTTGCACCACCCGTCGACGTCCGACCCTTCTTCTTCGCCGGAGCTTCCTCATCCTCTTCATCTTCCTCCTCGACCACTCTCTTGTTCTCCTTGCCGCCCTCCATCTCACGAGTGACAGTTGTGATGAGAGTGGCACAGCGACGACTGATCTCTTGTGGTGTGCGGGACAGGAAGAACCAATCGAACCGGAACAGTGGTGACTCGCGAATCTCGTCTCGGATCTTTTCGTACAGGCCCTCTGTATCGATTCCATACTTGTTGAGCATGACTAACAGGAAACGGTCTTCCTCCTCCGTATAAATCTTCTTGTTAGTCGTGCTGACAGTGTAGTTCAGCTTCAGCTGTTGCAAAGGCACACGATACATTGCAAGCTTCTTCTTGAGCAACTCACGTTGCTCAATGACTCTCGCAGCACGCTGTTCGCCTTCCTTGATAGCTGAGATGTGCTTCTCCCAGTTGTGGATCTCCTTGTAGCGCTTCCAGAAGACTTTGGCGTATTCCTTGACGTCTTTCGCATTCTTGCTATCCACCTCGAGAGCGATGCCGTCGTAGTCATTACGTCCGTACTTGGCGCTGCCATTGACGAACTGTTGGAAGTCACGCTTATTCCAGTCACCAAAGCCTTCTTCTGCGAGCTGGTCCTTCTCGGCAATCTCTTCTTCGGTCAATGGCTCAGCATCATCAATATTCTTCTGCTCAAGCTCCTGGTCTTGCGTACGTTGATCTAGAGTGTCTTCATCACCGTCTGCAAGCGGTGCTTTGATGCCATTCTCCTTCCGGAAAAATGCCGTCTCCTTCTCCTGCAGATCGCCTAGCCGCGGCGAGAAGAATTGATAGTCGTGCAAGGATTGCTGTTTTGGTGCCCTGGGAACTTTCGGCTTTGGGTCTGGTCGTGGCCCACCTGTTGCCAACGCGTTGCGATAGTACTTGTCCATCGAATAGGACTGCTCCTTGCGCTCACGCTTGGATGGGTTGATCCAGCTGAGACCAATCTCCTTCTTCTTGGGAATGAAGCTCTCGCCATTCCACTCATACGCAGCGCCTGCTTCTGTGTTGAACTTCTGCAGGTCATCGAGACCGAGCTTCTCGTACCTGGAAGCTATCTCTTTTGTGCGTTCCTCGCCGTGGCGCAGAATCGCGTCGAGATCATCATCAGCAGCACCGCCCTTACCAAACGCACCATACCCATCTTTGGATTCGAAGATGGTCTCCGCCCCGTGCTGAATCATGCCCAGAAGCTCATCTTTAGACGCAGCCGCCTTGGCCTGTTGCTGTGCGCGGCCTTGCTGAATGACCAGCTGGTCAAGACGAAGCTTCTGCGCCGCTCGCTCGAGCACCTTCTCCTCGATTGCGTTTTCGGTGATGAAGCGGAAGACATGCACTTGCTTCTTCTGGCCAATACGATGAGCACGATCCATCGCTTGCAGATCGGCTTGCGGGTTCCAGTCAGAGTCGAAGAGAACGACAATGTCGGCACTTGTCAGGTTGATGCCCAAACCACCCGCACGAGTGGTCAGCAGAAAGATGAACTTCTCAGAGCCTTCCTTGTTGTAATCGTCGATGGCCGCAATACGGTCCTCGTGGGCAGTAGAGCCATCAATGCGGCAGTACTTGTAGCCGCGCATGACAGAGTAATCCTCGAGAATATCCAGAACACGCGACATCTGGGAAAAGATGAGAACACGGCTGCCTTGGGCATGCATACGCTTGAGCAGCTTATCCAGCATGACCATCTTCGCCGCGTTGTCGACCAGGTGCTCATCCGTAGTGTATGGGGGACCAGGCTCGGCGCCGTCAAAAAGATAAGGGTGGTTACAGCATTTCCGCAGCTGCATGACGATGTTGAGAAGACGCGTCTTGCTCTCCTTGTTGCCGGCGGCGCCATTGACAGCATCGATATCCTTCTCCAGAATACTCTTGTACCACTTGATCTGCATCTCGCTCATGCCCACATACAGATTGACTTCCTTCTTCGGCAACAAGCTCTTCTCGACATCAGCCTTGACACGACGCAGCAAGAAGGGACGCAACACGCGGTGCAGCTGCTGCACCACAGCGTCTTGGTCGGCATCCTGGTTATTGAACCACGAGTCGAACGCCTCGGCATCGCCAAACACATCTGGCAGCAAGAAGTTGAGCAGTGCCCACAGCTCGTGCAAGTTGTTCTGCAGCGGGGTTCCTGTGATGAGCAGTCGGTTTCTGGAGTTGAAGACACGAATGATCTGAGCGAGTGAGGACTCCTCGTTCTTGATGCGGTGCGCCTCGTCAATGACAATGTACTCCCAAGCAAACTTCTTCAAGTGGCTCTTCTCCCGCAGAATCATCTCGTACGAAGTAATGCAGACGTCAAACTTCTCGTCCACGAGTCGCTCCTGTATCAGCTCTTGACGTTCATCCTTGGCACCTTGCAGCACCAGCACATTGATTTCGGGAATCCACTTTGCAAACTCCCGCTTCCAGTTGTCCAACGTAGACTTGGGCACAGCCACCAGATGTGGACCAGTGATGCCCTGTGTAAAGCGCAGATAGCCAATGAAGGAGATGGTTTGCAAAGTTTTCCCTAGACCCATCTCGTCGGCTAGGATGCCCGATATTCCATTCTCGTGTAAGCTAATCAGCCAGTTGAGGCCAGCGACTTGGTAGTCTCGCATCTCGCCGCCCTGGATGTACTGCGGGCTCTCGCGGAATATGGTGTGCGCGACCTTGCCCTCCTGCTTGCCCTGACGCAATAGTTCTGCATCTTCCTCCTTTTCTGTTCGTCGCCGTCGATCACCTGCAGCACCGCCCTTGCGCTTGTTGCCAGCCTGCTGACGCTCAGCGTCTTCCTGGTCTTGCCGATCAATCTCCTGCATGATTTCGCGGATCTGGGGGTTGGGGTTCGTGTCGATAAAGTGGCGGAATAGATCGGTCAAGCCCAGCAGATATCGGAAACGCTTGATGGAGTCGTCTTCCTTGTTGTCGCCCAGGCGTTCGTGCTTCTTGCCGAGCATGCTCTTGCGCAGAGAGTTGCCCTCCCATCGCCTGGAGCGGCCGTCTCGGGGAGCATCGCCCACAACACTGTTGGCTCCAGTGGGGTTCGACTCGGAGTCTGTGTAGTCGGGCGTATCGAGCATGACGGCGTCTGGCAGGCTGCCGTCACCAGCACCCAGTGCGGACGAGCTCGCCATCTGGAGCAGTGAGCAGCCAAGCTGGACTGGCTGGGCAGTGATGGTGGTGGGGTGGAGTGTGTCGCAGCGCGACTGTTTGCGCCTGGCTCGGCAATGTGCCTAGAGCTTGCGCCAGAAGACTCCCGTTCTGGCGCGTCTCGGGAAGACTCGACGCGTGACTGATGGCAGCGTGGACGTGTCTTTGGCGTGTTTTGGTCGCAGTGTGATGGGGTCGAATAGCGTCGCGCGTGTTGGTGTTGTAGGTCCCAAGACAGGAGTGTTGGTGGTGGTGGTGGTGGTGTGTGGGGAGGGATAGAGGGAGGATGAGGTGGAGGGAGGTGGAGGGAGGTATCATAGTTCTAGCGCGAGGAGAAAGTGTAAAGTTCAAGCTTCAAGCGCGCAGTTGCATGTACGCTAGACACGCCCGTGAACCGTTCACCACGCAACGCAATGATTACCTCAGGTGACAATAGTGTTTTTTCGTACCTGTACGTGGATTGAATGGAAGCGCTGTAAGAGCCCCAGTAGGCGACCAGTTCAACATGACTTGAAGCTTCCAGGTTCATTCTATTGCGAAAATGCATACACACCTATCCATGCATACTGTAGCCTCACGCTCGCCGGCGCCTGCTCGTTCTTGCAATTAGGAATACATTGAAAACTACCTATACACCAACGCCTGCATTCCAACCAGCCTAGAAGATGGAATTGACAATGTTCCCACCAATCGTCGCACCAGCACCGAAGATGGCAGCGTTGCCCAGCTTCTTCCCAAACTTCTTGCCCATCTCCTGTCCCTTGCCAGGCACTTTTCCTTCCCCATTGCCCATTTGACTCGTCTCCAGTGGCGCATTGCCATAGTTGTTCGAGTAGTCGGGCGCGGGTGGTCCCCCGGGCTGTGCGCTCTTCTCGTCTATGACCTTGACGTACGAACGGGGGAAGATACCTTCCTGGCCCGTTCTTTGCGAGCGTCCTTTCCACCACTCCGCATTCATGTATTCGGTGACGGTGATGTGGTCGTTGGGCTGGAGTTCGAGGTCGCCCGCATCAGTGGACGAGTAGGCATAGAGTGCTGTGGCCATGGCCAGGGGAGGCCAGTTGGCTGCTGGCGGAGGTGGTGTGTTATATGCCGGGGGTGGCTGTTGTGGTGTATGTGCAGGCTGGTAGAATTCGGCCTTCTCGTTGTGTGTGCCGTTGTCATTGATGTTCAAGTGTGCCATAGGCTCTGTCGGCGGCACATGTTGTGCGCTGGCTGCTGCTGCGTCGACGGCGGAAGGCAATGCGCCGACTGAAATGGGGGCATGCAGGGCAGTCTGGGACGGTATTCTTTGGAGAAGGTCGTTGAGAGTCTGTGGAGTGATGACTGAGGCATCACAAAGATACTCGAGTTCCTGTTCCTGATCAGTGCCGCTCCGCTCCGCTCCGCACCGCTCATCTCACTCAATGTTCCCAGGTGAAGTGCGTGGGTGGGTGCATGGGTGGCGTGCTCACAGCTTTGATGGTTCGAATGGAGCGATTGACCATGGCGGTCTGCATCTCTTCTGCGGCGGGCATGGCGGATGCGGGTGGCAACGAAGGAATCGACAGCGCCAACCGAGTGTGTATGGTATAGAAGAAGAGGAGGAGTAGGAGGAGGAGGAGGAGGAGGTGTAAGTTTGTTAGTAGAAAGGAGGGATCCGGTACATACGAGGCGATGATAAGGTACCCTGTTGTGCTGAGCCTCTCGCCAAAGCAGCTCCTAGTGATGAAACCACTCTAGAGAGTCCAGCTCCACCACACCTCACCAGCTGGCCAGTGGCAGCATCACGCGCGAACGAGGTGGTATTATGATATACATACTATAAGGTACCTGAATATATCATACAGTCACAAGCTACATGTACATACACTCCAAGGCACACAGAAACCCATCAAAGGTCAGGTATGCAGTCTCCTCCCATGAATGCATTTGAAACACCGCCGTCAAATCACCAACAATCCCGTCACGCAAGGCTTACAGATCGGGCTTCTGCACGAATCCAAACTGTTTCTTTCCCTGGTCGAAAATCGCATACATCCCCTTGAGGTGCGTGCCTCCAAAAATCGAGAAAGTCATGTTGCCTCGGGACTGGATCCCTCCATACATCATGCCTCCACCAATGTCTGCAAAGGCAAGATCGGACTTGCGCACGGTGAAGTGCTGATCACCAATTGCGAATGATATGACCGGTGGTTTGGTATTGCTGGGGAAAATGAATCCGCCCTGATCGTTGTCGTAACGTGAGCCAGGTATGGCCGCGTATACGTTCTTACAAGTCGCATCATCGATGAGGCTAGGGGGTAAAAACATGTGTGAGCTCACAAGTTCCATGGCGCCTCCATGCGAGAACGCTCTCTCCCTTCACCTATGTACATACCTCAAAGTGGTTCCTGTGTCCATGATGGCTGTGTTACCGGCAAGAGGTATCTTGTTGCCATCAATCACCACTGACGTCGACGCTACGCTCCAGAACCCCCGAGAGCTGTCGACAGCAGCATAGTAGATGGGTCGACCTTTCACCAGATCTTGGTCAATGTACCCAAATGTATAGTAGTCTGGCTCACTGTCTTTACTGCTGGTCAGATAGCACGTGAACAGCTCACTGTTGCTAGGAATGTCGGCCTGCGCGATCATGTTCTCAACGGGAGTGTGTACGGGCTGAGGCTTGACGGTGTTGATGCTTCCCTCCTCACGGTCAGCTGTATCCTGAGAATCTGTTGTCAAAATCGTCCCAACTTACAAAGGCAAGCCCGAGGAGACCATCTCCGGCGCTCTGTTCGAAAGACTGCGCGAGATTCTTCGCCAGCTCGACACTTTGTCCTTCGACACACAAGCCGCCGACCGTCACGCTATCTGTGCCAACGCTACCACCGGCTGTGGACCCATCTCCGTATTGGATCTGCTATGATTGATCATTCGAGTCCTTCCAAGTGCTGCTCTTCGTCGGATCAAAGATGCTATGTCCGGCCTGCTGACCCTTGCTTTTCACATCAGGAGGCAATAAAGTGGACCAGACCCATAGATCAGACGAGCCAGTGTCGAAATTGAGGTGGAGCTTTTGCTGCGGCGTTCCGATTCCCACAGGCGCGAGGTATTCAGAGTCGTTTTGTACGTTGGTCGCGTCAAGATGTCCGACCTTGCCTGATGAGTCGGGCTTATTCACCATACGGGTCACCACACGAGGATGACTGGCCTGGCTGGAGTCGGGGCTGAAGGCATTGGTGATTGCTTGCCCAACGTTTGCGAGAGCTTGCCCAGTACCGTCCACTATAGTGTGAATGATGGTGAACGGCGTCGGCAAGGTGGGAGTAATTTCGAACTTTCGACAGACGCCAGCAAAGTCCCCAGTACCCTTCGCTTTGAACTTCGGATTGCGGACCACACTGACTTTATGCAGACCTTGCAGTGGAGTGGCTTGCGCCGCGTCCGCAGTCTTTACTGGATCCGTAGGGACGGCCATCTTGATGCTGGTCCCTAGGACTGCGCCCTTTGTCGTCGCTGTTGGTACCGTTCCATGATTGTACGGATTGCCGTGTGCGAAATTCTGGTAGGTAGAGGGGAGGTTATGCTTCTGCTGATACACAGTCTTGATGTCTTCGATCGTCATGTGCCCGGCGTAGGTCAGTGAATGATGATAAGGTAGGTAACCTAGGTACATGTAGGTACAGATATATGTATATGTACCTGTTGTTAAGTCTGAGGGCAACCGGAAAACTTGAGTAGTGGGAGCTGCACTTTGCAGGTGCGTCCTGTGAGTCGCTGCGTTGCCAGGCCACTTTCCCGAAGTACCTAGGTAAGGAGGTAGGTATGGTATGGTACCTGACATGGGAGGTGTAAATTAACACACTCACCTCTGGAACCTGGAAAGCATGGGAGCAAGGCACTACACAACTTGGAGTTCTTGAATCACAACATCCGCCTCACCCAGCGCTGAAAAGACCTCGTCTTTCATGTCTCTGTTGTCTGGATACGTCTAGCTGAACTATGTCGGCCGTCTAACCCGGTCGGATCTGTGACTCGCCGGTCATCTGGAGGCATTCAAGTGCACCATGGCCGGCCCTCATACACCACTAGCGCATATTGATCCTCTTTCTGTTCCATCATACGTACGCCGCAAGAACGTCTACACTGCCTTTGGCAAATAGCTACTGATGCAGATAGCTGCAAGCATCTCCTTTGTCACACTTTCCTGCCTGGAAGAACCTGCAGACCTTGGTTCGGTAGTTCGGAGGCTGTGCCGCCTGTCCTTGCTGTCCAAAGGTCTGCTGTTGTGGTTGCTGTATCTGTGCCAAGATCGCTGCGAGGTCGATGTTCGCAGCGGGAACAGCAGCCGGTTGTGGCAATGGCGGCGGTGGAGGCTGGAAGCCATTGGTGCCCATATAAGGTGGCGCATACGTTGGCATAGTAGGCTGTTGCTGAGCAGCAATCTGCTTGAGAGATTCGAGAATGGACTGAACATCTGGAGTCACCTGCGGCTGCTGTGCCGAGAAGTCGTATCCGGGGGCCGGCTGCGAGACTGGGCCATGTGCATGATGTGGTTGGAACTGCGTGCTATGGCGCCTCGCAGCGACGTCTCGCGCACGAGCCACCCACTTATCATCCAGAGACCCAAACATCTTGACGGGTCCTCCTTGATCGCCGTTGTACGGGTTCTCTGGCTCCTTTGGATTAGGCGGAATCTCACTAGGATTGGTGTAATACACCATGAGCGTGCTACTCTCGTACTGGTCCCTCTTCGCACGCTCGTTCGAATTCGGCTGTATGGAACCTCCACCACGGGGAGCCCAGTTTTTGTCGAGGTCCGGGTTCATGCTGAAATCAACCTGCGATGGCACGTGAAACTCCACGAGCTTTGTCTCTTCATCCGCGCTATCCTCGTCATCATCGAGGTCCATCATTTGATGCTTCTGCTTGAGCATTCTGCCTTCCCCTCCGACGTCGGCCATGTCACGCATCTGGCTGGAGCCGTGATCTATTTCCTCATCGGGATCGTGCGTAAAGTATCGGACTTCCACAAGATCTTCTCCGGTCTTGAATGACACATGCAACCTGCGACGCTGCTCCTTGCGCATCCTCTTACTGCGCTCCTCTGGTGTCTCTTCTGGCTGTGCTGGCGCCTCTTGCTTGACGGGCTTCACTTCTTCCTTTTTAGGCTTGGCCAAGTTGGCCATAGTCTCGGCAAACGAGAACGCAGGTTTAGCTGTAGCGGCAGTAGTAGCTGATCCTGGAACTTTAGCCGCCACAGGTTTGGCCGTTCTCTCCGCATTCGAGGTTCCAGGCTTCTTAGCTGCTGATTGCAGGCTCGAGAAGAAGCCCGAAGGCTTAGCCACGACCGTCTTCTTGGTAGCACCTGCACCAGCAGCAGTGGCTGGTCTAGCAGTCTCACCTAACTTCTTAGTGCCAGCATTTCCAGTGATTCGTGTAGTCGCGGTGACACCGTTAGATTTAGCAGTAACGGTGGCGACCTTCTTGGAAGCGCCTCCATCTGCGGTGGAAGATGCTGCGCGCTTGACGCCGGCGACTGGCTCTGGTCCCAACTTCCTGACTGCATCCGCCTTCGTTGTCCCAGTAGCACCGTCCGCAGGCCGTGCAGACTTCTTCTGGTCATCTGCCACCGCCTCTTTCGTGGCGAGCTCTGAGTTGGACAAGATCTTCTTGGCCCAGAATTGGGTCTTGGCATCGCCCTTCTTCTGGAAACGTGGTAAAACCTTGTCAAGATGGACTTTCTCCAGCTTGGTTTCTGTCAAAGTCGTGAACGCGGCCATGAGCTCCAGTATAGCCCGTGATAGGGAGCCGTTGAGGTCATCGGCCTTCATTCGCTCAATCAGGAACTGATAAAGAATGAAGACAAGCGAAATATTCTCCGAGAGTCTACGGGAAAGCATGGTCAGTCAATGCCAACGAGGAATGTTTGTAAGACACTTCTGTGCGGATCTAAGCTACGGTAGTCTGGCTAACGCAGAGTATCACACTCGCCATCGCCCAGGGCGAAGGCTGAAGCAAAGCTATATAAGATCTCCGGAAAGTATGCGGTCGCGCTTCACACGATATACGAGACTCTGGCACGATGCCACAGTCGATACATTAACAGGTCTGAAAGGTCACGAGCCAGATTTTGTGCACGACTACGTCACGCCTCATTCCATGCTGTTGCCAAGTATGATTCACTTTGACGGGGAGTGGGGTGTTGACTTACAATTCGACGATAGCGCGATGGCCATGCTTGAAGGCAGCTCTGAAGGCAGCTTCTGCCATTTCTCGTTGATCCTTGACCCGGCTTCTCAGCAAAGGTAGTTCGCCAGTCTTCTTCTTCTCCTCTGCATCCGTAAGGGCAGCTATATCTGCCTTCCACCGATCCCTTATCGTTTTAATGATTTCCCAAAAGTCCGCCAAAGATGTACGTATCGTTGCAGCATCAATCGACTTCCGCTTGCTCCGCCAAAGAGCTTTGATGACATCGTACTCAACCCCACCCTTCGGAGAGTCAGGTCGATTTGCGGGGAGAGGAGAATCAGGATCAACATCTTCGTCCGAATAATCCGACTCATCGTCCGACGATGACGAGTCCTCACTCGAGGACTGCTCGTATCGGATCTGCTCACTAGATGTAGAGGCTGCCTTTGCGCCGCTTGATGCCGCGAGTGTCCTGGACTTTTTGCCAATCTTTGCTAGCGCAAGCTGGTTCGTGCCAGCAGCCTTTCGAAGTTCATTGCGTGATCGCCTCGCAAAGTATGCAGGAATCACGCTACGAGTGATGTCCCACTCTAAGGGTTCCTTGCCGACGTTGACATAGTTTCCTAGGCGCTCTGAGTTGGTCGTGCGAGACAAGTGATCAAAGCTGATGATGCTGAACATGCCTGCATCAGCACCTTTGGGCACCGAGTTGGCAAGCGAGGTATGGTTCACACGACGTGCTTGCTGCTGCTGCTGGGGCTGGGGCTGCTGCTGGGGCTGCTGTTGAACCGCCGATGGGCGGTTTTGGTAGGCAGAATGTGCCGTCTGTGGCATGTATGAGGTCTGGTTAAGGGCCTGAGGCGAAATAGTTCTTGCGGAGTGACCAGCAGAGGCGAATGGACGAGTGTAGGCGTGGCCATTATTTCCTTGGTTGATAAGCGATGTGTCGAACTGCTGTTGGCGATATGGGTAGGTGTTTTGGCCATTAACCGCCCCAAAGTTGGGTTGTACGTATGGGGCTGGGCTTTGATTGAGAGCACGTCCATAGGGCGAGGAGGTGCCATCGTATGCATGTTGTGTCGCCGGAGCAGAGAGATGGTTGACATTCTGCTGCCAGCTTGGCGTGGCTGATGGCGGGGCACGTGACTGGTCGTTGTGGAATCCGCTGGCGTTTAGGCCCCAGCTAGCATCGTTGGAAGCAGAAAACTCGTTGCCACTGGAGAAGAGATTGTCATATTGTATGAACTGCTGATTATTTGCAAACATCCCATTGTTTGCGTTCGCATAGCCCTCATTGCCAGTGTTCGGCAGTCCGGAATCCATCTTGGGGCAGCACGGACCAGGTAAGACAAAAGTGGGCCGTCCGAATCAGGTTCAAAGACAGTAAGTGCAGGTTCCGGAAGTGCGGGATTCGCGGTGACTATGGCCGAGATGCTGGTGCCCTCGCAGGGGACGCCGCGGACCAGGTGCTTCGAGCACGAGGGCGAGCGTGTCTGGGAGAATTGGCGGACTGTGGTCTGGAGGCCGAGCTGTGTTTTGATGATGATGATGATGATTGTGGATGATGATTTTGGATGATGATTTGGATGATGATTTGGCTGATGGGATGATGATTGGGATGATGATGATGATGTGGATGATGCGACAGGTACAAACTCAGCCTGCGGCAATGTCCCCTTGGGAAGAGCAGAGCAGACCGGGTCGCTTTCCACGCAACTGGTGAGAGAACTGGGTGAAGATGCACGACACGACTTAAGGTGTCGGTGCCGGCCACAATATAGTGTGAAGAAGCTTAGAATACGCTGTTCGCAGAGCGAGGCAGATGCTGCGCGTGAGTACCAGAATGCTCAACGAGCAGTCTGAATGGCGACCGCGGACCACCCTCACTCACTGCGGTAGCAGTACTGTAGTGAAGCTGAGCGCCGTCGCAATCTGCCCAAGAAGCGGACACGCTCTGCCGCTAGACATGCAAACCACGAGAAAACGCCGTTTAATGCCTCGTCAGTTTCTCATCACGTACTCATGAAGGGGGCAGGGACAGCAGTCTAGCAGACGGGTGATGCTGGGTGGGTGTGTGGTTGTGTGGTGGGTGGTGTGTGGTGTGTGGTGGTGGATGATGATGGTCGGGTGGTGGGTGTTGGAAGGACGGACGCTGACTGAGAGAGATGGAATTAATGGAAGTGGCAGGCCCGGGCAGGCAGAACTAAGGTAGGCGGGCGGGAGAGTCTTTGAGAGCGGCCCGCACTGAACCACGACCTTTGGCCACTGAACAGTTGACACCTCAGGCTCCGAGATCGTTAATCCGGACGGGACGCCTGAGGAAGTAGGAGGTAGGTTCCTCACTACAGGAGGTACCTACCTAGGGTGGATGAATATCTTACCTAACTACCTACTGTACAGCTAACCTCAGGTACACGTACATCGTAGCCAGGTGCTAAGGAACAGGTAGGCGCGTCGTCGGCGGTGAATGCAACGTGTAACACCTCACTGCCCAACCTCCACTACCTGTACTCTCTGCACACCCGCCGACTGCTGCTTCAGGCAACCACCACCACCACCTAGCGTGCTTGCACAGCTTGCGCAACGGAAAGCGCCCATTCTCATGCGCTGAAGCGAGAACGGGCTGGTCGACAGCCATTTCAACCGTCAGCATGTCCACATACCATTCGCTTCGAGATCGCCAAGTAGGTCTGTATAGTCAATCACGCCTGCGATGGGAGTCACTGCTGACTCTGGACAGCCTCCATCGAGCGCATTCTGAACCTCAACCATGCCCCCGACCCTTCCGACTCGACGCTCGACAGCACCGCTTCCAATGGACTGGTCACCAAGTCGACGCCTATCCTGAATGCAGACGGAGAGCCCATATGGAAAGTGCTAGTCTTCGACGCGCTGGGAAGGGATGTCATCAGCAGTGTACTGCGGGTGAGCGATCTGCGGAGTTGGGGAGTTACAATACACCTGTACGTTGGGCGCTCAGCACTGTGGTCTGAAGGTCGGGGCTCAAGCAGCGGTCGCTGACAGCATCGTGTCAGGAACATTAATGGCCAGCGGCATCCGATACCAGATGTACCAGTGCTATACCTCGTTGAGCCCACTGCGGAGAACCTGCAGCGCATTACCCAAGACTTGCAGAAGGGACTCTACTCGCCTGCATACATCAACTTCCTCTCCTCCATATCCCGACCTCTGCTGGAGGACTTTGCTACACAGACAGCAGAAGCCGGAACTGCTGCGAGCATCAGTCAGGTCTATGACCAATATTTGAACTTCATCGTCAGTGAACCAAATCTGTTCAGCTTGGGCATGGGAAAAGAGACGTATTGGGCGATGAACAGTGCTCAAACCAGTGACGAGAGCATTGACAGCAATGTTGATCGCATTGTCAGTGGGCTCTTTAGCGTTGCGGTAACGATGGGTGAGTGGTGTCGAGCTTCACCAATTGCTCCTGTCGCTGATTCCTTTAGGAACCATACCCATCATACGATGTCCCAAGGATGGTGCTGCGGCCATGATCGCAGCGAAGCTGGATCGCAAGTTGAGGGACCACATTCTGAATGCCAAAGACAATCTGTTTTCAGGCAAGTCAGCTGCCGCTGGAGCCACGTCTTCGAGGCCTGTACTCATTATAGTCGACCGAAACGTCGACCTGGTGCCGATGCTGTCCCACTCGTGGACATACCAATCCTTGATTCACGACGTACTCAGCATGCATCTGAACCGCATCACAGTCGAGACGCCGGTCGACGAGGCTGGCGCTGCTGGAGGCGTGGTGAAGAAATCCTATGATCTGGCTGCGAATGATTTCTTCTGGAACAAGAACTCTGGCGCACCTTTCCCTCAAGTAGCTGAGGACATTGACGCCGAGCTTACTCGATATAAAGAAGACTCGACTGAAATCACGAAGAAGACCGGCGCCAGCTCCATCGAAGATCTCCAGAATGACACAAGCGCATCTGCACAACATCTTAAAGCAGCCATTACACTCCTACCTGAGCTTCGAGAACGTAAATCTTTGCTAGACATGCATATGAATATTGCAACTGCGCTGCTCAAAGGGATCAAGGACCGACAGCTTGATAACTTCTATCAGCTCGAAGAAGATATCAAGAAGCAGACCAAGGCACAAATGCTAGAACTGCTCAATGACGCCGACAAGGGCAACGAACCGCAGGACAAGCTTCGTCTATTCATCATATGGTTCCTCAGCACCGAAGCAGAGTTGTCTCGCGCGGACGTGGAGCATTTCGAGACTGTCTTGAAGAAGATTGGCGTCGACACCCTTCCGCTCACATATATTCGACGAGTGCGCGAGATTACGCGCATGACCATGATCTCGTCTGCACCGACACAACAACCCCAGCAGACATCAGCCTCTGCCGACCTTTTCCGCGGGTTCAGTTCAATATCGTCACGCCTTACAGACAGATTCAAGGATGCAGGCCTAGGTGCCAACTTCGATAACCTGATCTCTGGCGTGAAGAACTTCCTCCCAGCTAACAAGGACTTGACCCTCACCAAAATTACTGAATCTCTCATGGACCCACAGAACGCCTCCACCAGTGCATTGCAGAAAACAGAGGGTTTCCTCTACTTTGACCCACGATCTGCGAACGCTCGCGGCACAATGCCGCCCTCCGCAAAGGATGCACGATCTGGTACGCAAGAGAAACGTGGCATTGACCCATCCTTTGGCCAACGGAGGCAAGGTTTTAGCGAGGCTATTGTGTTCACTGTTGGGGGTGGCAGCATGGACGAGTATGGAAACTTGCAAGAGTGGGCGAAACGCTCGGTCGGTGCTGGTGGTGCTGTGAGCAGAAAGAGGGTCGTCTATGGAAGCACTGAACTGGTCAATGCCGCCAGCTTCCTACAGGAACTCAGCAAACTGGGTCGTGAAAGCTCATAATGATACTAAGGTATACATATACATCGTGTTACCAGTGCGAGTCTCGTTCGCGCACTGGTTCTCACTCGCTCAATCAAAATGTATTACTCATAACCTCCGTAGGGTGTGTATCCCTCAGCATCCACCCACTACCTCCTAGGTGGTAGTACCTACATGTAGGTAGGTATGTACACAGTACAGGTAGGTAGGTACCTATCTTATACACCCGAGTGCATTTTTAGCGTGTATACTTTAGCCGCATATCTTGGCAGCATCTCGATCTCTCGATCTCTCGTTCTCGACTTTGCTCTCGCTAGGTTCTAACACCCACTATCGTTCCTGCTTGGAGCGTTCATCTTCTATCTCTATCTCCGTTCGCAGCGCGGTGGCCGGCAACAGCGCTGGTGATGAAATGACCACGTCGTGGCTATCCACTACTGCGCGCTCTTCTCCTTCTTCATAGCCACTATTCCACGACGGCACCCTCTGTTTGCCGCTGGACTGGACCTTTTACGCCATCCGGCTCGGGCTGTGCTGGTCTACCTCATCATTCCTCGAACGATTTCCCCGATAATCGACCCTGATTCGAACGTGGCAACATGGCCGCGGGACGCTCCATGAAGTCGCTTGTCAGTCGGCGGAGACGCGGGGATGAGGAGGGCGAGGACGATGAAGGCCCTGTAATGGTGGAAGATTCGCAGAGCGAAGGCTCCGTGCTCAGCGATCTTGAAGACGACGATGAGGCGGACACGAGCAGCATGGCTCAGTCCAGCGCAGTGGGGGGAGGAGCAGACTCGACACACGGCGAAGTCATCAAGGCAGCAGCGAAAAAGCAGAGCAGAAATAGGCATGGGAAGAAACAGACCAAGGAATCCGAGCCAACGCCAGTGGAATCATCCCAGCTCCAGCCCCAACCTGCTTTCAAGCCTGCGCCAGACACCGAAGCCATGCTGAATGGTCTTCCGATTGGACACCAGTCGGTACAAGCAGTGGTCGACTTCGAGGGCACGGCTCGCAGTGCAAATGTTGACTCAGCTGCTTCGGCCTCAGCGCCGGTTATTGTGTCAACGGATAGGAGTACCACATCGCCTGCAATCCGTCAACGAAAAGAGCACGAGGAGTACAGGAGAAAGCGCGAGGCCGACCCCTCCTTCGTCTCCAACCGAGGGAACTTCTTTATGCACGATACCAGGGCAAATCAAGGTCAAGGTACTCTTCCTTTTCGAGGCGCATGGGCTGGCAGAGGCCGTGGAAGAGGCGGCGGTGGCAACGCAGGTGGACATTTTGCACCAGTCAATCAAGTGGTTCAGCAGGAAAAGGTGGCCGAAGAACCATGGAAGCACGACCTGCACGATACCATCAACGAGGAGCCAGCCCCTGCGAAGCCGGCCGATCTTCCTCAACATCAGATCGAGTCTCCGCGCCTGTTCTCAAAGACTGGTGGTCAGAACAATAATAATGGTCCCCACGCGAAACTCTCGTTCTCCAGCACGACGCTTGTCGGCAAAGTTCAGATTCGAGTGCTGTTGCCAGGCATGAAAGCACCCATAACCTTCTCCGAAGTGCCTTGGAAACAATATACTCGTCTACCAGATCATCGTCCGCCACTTCGCCGTGACAAGCCCGTGCGCATATCGATACCTGAGCATGTGCAACGCTACATATTCCCATCTTCTCAGCGATCATTCATCTTCATTCCAAGACAGATGAGACCTAATCAGCGTGGTTATGGGAATGATCGCTATCAGCGAAGCATTGGCGGTATTGGCTACTCGAGCAGAAGGACTAGCATGTACGGCGGCAGCGTGTACGCTGGGAGCATTGCTGCCAGTCGACGCTCCTCATTTGCTAGTATTGCCCGTGAGAATGCCTTTTCTCCCGTTGGCTCTTACGTCGGCATGCCGCCAAACCGACCGGTAGTAAGACTTCCGCATGGCGCGCATGGCTCCCAAATGGGACCCCTCTCAGGTCACCAGACGCCTACTGGGATGCACATGCATACCTTCCCTCCACCTGCCCAGCCATACCATCAAGGAACCCCCACGACGACTGTCCATCAGCCTAGACCGCAGAAGGTCATTTCTGTCACCGGCATCGAGTCTCCAGCCATGCTGTCACAAGCTCACGGTCCAGCAGAGCAGCAGCCATTCGCCAACCAGTTGCCTGCACATATGCATGACCACCAGACACTACCTCCACCATATTTCTCGCCGCGGCAACAGTTCTCATTTCCACAACGGCAATCTGGCACACCTCTCTCGGGCATTCCAGAACAGGCCATGCACGCTCCTGCCTTTCAGCCCATGATTCCCTATACACAAGGACCCTACTATGCGCCGTATCCGTCCCAGCAGCAGGGCTATTACTATCCCTCAGGACACAATGGATTCAACCCGATGCCCATGTATATTCCGCCACAACAGAACTACATGATGGCGCCGCCCTCTGCCCCTGCGGTGCCACCTCCACGATCTCCTGTGCAGCAAAGACCTTCGCAGACTGTGGAGGGCGAGGAGTCGTCGGCGCCTTCTGGCATGGTGGCCCACGAGAGTAACGGCATGGTCTTTTATTTGCCGGCAGCAGACGCGTCAACGCAAGCTCAAGGCGAAAACTACCAACCTGCCGAGAGTTTTGTGCCCGCATACGCCATGCCTGGCTTGCCACCGCCCACACCGGCGCCGGAGTCGGCGTATTTCTACCCTCCACCGCAGATGCCCATGGCAAGCTTTTATCCAGGCCCAGGTCAGCAGCAATAGGAGGCAGAACTCGAAGGGCTTAGACTGTAGGTAGTTGTGGAAGGGGAGGGAAAAAGGAGCAATAACGTGACGACCAATGACTGATTCATTTTGTATTTTTTTTTTTTCTCTTTTTTTTTGTTCATTCGACATGTTTGGAGTTGCGTCCTAGGCGGCGTTGTTGGGACACTAGCAAGCATGGCGTTCAGTGATTGAGGCGGTCAGGCGTTCAGTGGAAAAGGGCTGATGTTTGATGCTTGGGCCCTTCTCCTTTACATTAGGTTACTTACCTTAGTATGCTTAAAGATGGAGGTTGTGCATCGACGGATAGTATGGACACGCTCAGGGTTCCGGACGAGGTGGTGGACGGCGGAGGCGATTGAAGACGGGCAGGTCAGGTAGTGGCGGTCATTGCTATAGTGTGGGACATAGCCATGGTTCATCTTCCCGGCTTCTGACTATATGGTGTATCCCAACACACACACCCGACACACACACACACACACTCTCTCTCTCTCTCCCGTCATTCATGTACCGCTTCGGGTTGATGAAGACTGTGAAGTGGAGTGGTTCCTCTGGCAGTTTCTAGTGCATTCGCGCGGGCGCTGCCGCTTGTACAGTTTCGCCGATCCACCGGGAGTTGTAAAGCCAAAGCTTGCACCTCGTGGGAGAGTGGTTGAGTGGTAGGAGGTACCTTAGTAGGAGGTAGTGACTACAGGTACCTACTCCACACCACTCGAGCGGAGCTGAGCTGACCCGAATCACGCGGATGGCCTGGCTGCCTCCACTCACCACTCACCACTCACCACTGTTGCCTGATGCCCTTGCCTTTGCCTTCGCCTTGCCTCTGACCCGACCCGACACTACTAGTTACAACTACCTCCTACACCTAGGTACCTCCGTACATGTACCTTCCAGGTTGCCTTCCACCTCCTACACCTACCTAACCTAACCTACCTGACCTGACCTGACCTGACCTGACCTGACCTGACCTCCGACATCCACCTACCTCCTACCTACCTCCTACAGGTACCCCCGACTCTACCACAACCCACTTCCCCATCGGCATCATTGCACCTCTCACCTCCACCGCAGAGCCGTGGAGCGCATCGACCTACATTTGGTAGCTCTGACCGCCAATACCTCAGCGTGTCCGCCGCTGCGCTGCTCCGGCAGAGAGAACGTCATCCACCGCCTTGGTTGTCAGCCCAGCTCCCCACACTCCATCCTTCCATCCTCCTCTTCTTTCCTCTCTCTCTCTCTCTCTGCTTCCTCTCCCCTTCTTCCCACCTCCACAAACTCGCCGAACATGGATGCCACACACAACACCGGCGTTGTCTCGCAGGACACGCTCATCATCATCAAAATCAGCGTCAACGAGCAGCTCAAGAAGCTGAAGCTGCCGCTGCGTGATCTTGGCGCTTCGGTGCTGCCTGATAAGGTATGTTGGTGCTCACCCTCTCCGCTTCGTCCGACCCAGCCTTGGGAGACCTCTGCCTGATGCCGGACGCGGCTGCTACATCTTCGAACGCATACACTAACCCGCATCCCACAGCTCCGCCGCGTACTCGATATCAAGCCAGAGCAGCACGTCGTGCTCGAGCGCTTTTCCGACTCGGCCGGCGGCTACATCACCCTCGACCAAACCAATCCTCAGGTCTTCAAGACTCTTATCCGCGCAGCAAAAGCCAAGGGAAAGCTGCGACTGAAGGCGACCGTGAGCTCCGTCGCGGCACCGGAAAACAAGGAGGCAGGCGAGCTCAAGGTAGCCCCGAAAGAGATGGCACCACTGATTGTGCGTCTTCCACTGCCTGTGGCTCACTCGAATCAGACGTTTGACAATGGCCGCTTACAGCTCTCTCAGGCTTCGCCATCTCGCGACTCAGTGTCCCTCGATAAGCGCTCCATTGGCAGCGGGATATTCCAGTTCCGTGACGCGCGCAATAGCCAACAAACCTTGGTCAATGACGAGGCGCCGGTGCCACGCCCATTCTTTGACCAGTCGGCATATTTCGACAAGCTTGCAGCGCCTACTGTGCCCAACAAACTGGCATCGCTTGTGCTCCGCCCACGCGAACCTGATGAGACTTCGAAGAAGTGCTCTGACGAGTACTCTGTGTTCTGCAATGTCTGCGGTGTCGCCACCCCGGATACGCATTACCATTGCAGCATCTGCAACGATGGCGACTACGATTTGTGTGATAAGTGTGTAAGCGATGGCAAGCTATGCCCGGGCGAAAATCACTGGCTCATCAAGCGTTTCCCTTACAACGGCGGGTACGTGCAGAGCACGACCACCCGCATTTCCAACGCAGCACCCCTCAAGCTCGAGTCGGGCGTCGAAGAGCAGAAGAAGGAAACGTCAGACACTTTCATAGACGACACCAAGGTCTTGTCCTCGGACACTCGCACGCCTACACGCACCTGCAACAGTTGCGTGGTGGTGCTGCCGGAGCGCGAATTCGTCACCTGCAGTGACTGCGACGACTACGATTTGTGTATCTCATGTTTCTCGACAGTCGAGAAGAGTGGCCACCACCCAGCACACAGCTTCAAGCCATCTACCCACGAGACTGTCCTGCCATTCTCCGCCCAATCTAATTTGGCTCCAGGCCGCAACGTCCGTCACAATGCCATCTGTGATGGTTGCGACCAGCCGATCTGTGGTGTCCGTCACAAGTGCTTGACCTGCCCTGACTGGGACTATTGTAATGAGTGCGTCAAGACTGCACGTCAAAGCCACCCTCGCCACCGCTTTGCTGCTCTTTACGAACCCATCGGCGACCAGGGTATTTCGATGGTCCGCCACTACGGCATCTACTGCGATGGCCCTCTCTGCAGCAAGAAGGTCACTCAATCATTTATTAATGGTGTCCGGTACAAGTGTACCATCTGCCACGACACTGACTTTTGTGCATCTTGCGAGGCTCTACCAGGCAATCACCACAACCGCACTCACCCGCTCATCAAGCTTAAGACTCCTGTACGCCACGTGAGCGTTTCCACCGAAAACGAGGATCGATGTGGTCAGATTCGTCTCATGGGCGACCGTGGCTCTGCTTCAGTCAACATTCCCGTCACTGCGCCTTCTCCCGTGCAGACTGTCGCAGAGATCAAGCCAAGTGAGATCAAGGCAGAGAGTGCGCCCATTGCCATCCCGGTGAAGAAGTACCAGGCCTCTGCCCCCGTCCCCGCCCAATCCGTTCAGCCAAAGTCTGACATTCCATTAACCGTGCTGGACGCTCGTTTCGTGCGTGATACCATTTCGGACGGCATGGTTGTCGAGCCTGAGACACGCTTCACACAGGTCTGGACCATGAAGAACCCGGGCCCATATCCTTGGCCTAGTGGCTGCAGTGTCCGCTACGTGGGAGGCGACAACATGCTCGATGTGGATAACAGCCACCCCTCATCCGTCGCCGCCATCAACGACGCGACTGAGAGCAACATTGTAGGCCGTGAGGTTGCTGCCGGAGAAGAGGTTGCATTCAAAGTTATTATGAAGGCTCCTCTGCGCGAAGGCAAGTGTATTAGCTATTGGCGCGTCAAGGCAGCCGATGGTACTCCTTTTGGCAATCGCTTGTGGTGCGACATTGAGGTCAAGAAGGCACCACAGGCTGTGGTTTCCATCGCTCCGACGGTACCAGCACTGGCTGGTGTCCCTCAAATGCCACGCTGTCAAGTTCGACCCTGTGGATCGCGCACCTCTTTGCCATTGCAATCAGTCCGCTCTTCGCAGCCGCCAACCCCATCTGAGCAGCCACCAGCCTACAGCAGCACGGAGAGCATGAATCTTTCATCCCGTCTTGTTGCGATGCGCGAGCAGCAGAAGCAACGCCGCGAGCACATGCTTGCACAACTCAGTGCCCAACGTGAACAGCTTCAGGCCCAAGGCATAAAGCGCGAGGAAGTGCCTATGAGGGGACCTGTCAACCAGCTCAATGGCCAGCAGATGGGCAAGGATGCTCTTCGCCAACGAGTCGCATACATCAAGGCAAACATTCAGAAGACCCGAGAGGAGCGTGAGAAGCTCCGAGCTGAGCACAGCGAGCTGCAAGCCGCAGCCGTGGAGAGAAAGGCAGAGGTGCAAGCAGAGGATGAGATCTCGGGCGCGAAGAAGGTTGATGAGGAGGTTCCCAAGCACCTCGACGCTGAGAATGGCCTCGAGCGCAGCCAAATGGTCTTCCCAAAGCTCGATAAGGAGAGTCCATCCAGCAGCACACACGAGTCTGCCACCAACAGTGCCCACAAGGGCAAGGCTGCGTACGTGGAGAACGAGGACGGCGAGGTGGAGCGCTCTGCCACCCCCGATCGAGCATCTGGTCCTGTTGTTCATTCCCCATCCGTTGATGAATACGACTTTGCAGAGATTGACGATGAGTTGGAAGTGCTCAGTGCCAACGGTGTCGATAGCGAAGATGATGGCTTCATGACGGATGAGGAGTACGACATTCTGGACGCTTCCGATCATGAGACGGTTGCTTCTTACTAGCTAGGTCCGCCCGCTCACATGCTCTGACTGATAGGCTGCACCACGAACCGATGAAGATGACGAGCAGCAAACTCGGTTCATCACGCTCCGCACACGTGGAGTGGTGTGCTTCACGGATTGACGACTTGGAATGGTTGACGAAATATGGCGAGCGAGGCGCAATGAGGACTGAGGTTGGACACAATGGCGCGTGGGTTCGTGCTTTGTAGCTCGGTAGGAGTATAATGATTCAGCTACCTCCACTGCCTACCGTACCGATGCCCTGACTCCACGCCGCTGCTATTGAGTAAGTCTCGTAGCATAGTCTGCAGAGTGCATACATGTTTTATTATGGCGCCTGTTGCGCTCTTTGCATGACGTGTAGCTCGGTTAGCGCTGAATGCCGATACGGTACATACATGTACCTTTACCTCCTATGATTCACAGATTGATACGGAGGTACTTTGATACCTTATCTCAATGCTTGTTTTCTCAGCTGCAAGCATCAAGGATGATAGCTGCCGGAAGTCTGAAGAGTGAATTAGGTCGGGTATGTAGCTGCAAGCTGGAGCGCGGTGCGGTGAGGGTTACTAGACTGTTAGTCATCATACATGATACAAACACCCGTCCAAACCCTGGAGCATTTCTTCCTCCCTGTCTGTTCTATACGCCACATGACTGCACGTCTGTGATTAGATTTCCAAGTATTTTCCGACTGCACCAAAGCAAAGCGTACAATTACCTACATGTATTAATGTCCCCGGGCAGCCCACGCGGCAGCCAACAATCCAGCCCTCCCGCCCTCCAGCAGGCCCTCTCCAAACGAGGAGGCCATTCCTTATCCACCTTCCATAAACAGGCTCGCGGCTCGGGTGCGGCGTGGGACTCGAGCGGAGGAGGTCGCAACATGACGACTGAGCGTCCAAACCTCGCCAATGGGAGCGCACTTTAGATCCGGAGCGGGACGAGCATGTCTCCAGTGATGTCTCCAGTGATGTCTCCGGTGATGGCATGTACGTGAACAGAAGGCAGTACGAAGTCAAAGTTACAAATTTCCTAGGAGTATCGGGGGTGCCAAAGCAATACGGATATGAGTAGGGCCAGCTAGGCTCGGTAAGATAATACCTAATGAACCTTACTGTACCTTACCTACCTGATCAGGCTGATCTGACCTAGCTCCTAGGTACAACTACGACTACATGTACTGAACCTGGAAAAGGGCTCGCTTCGTGTGGCGCTAAGGTCTGCGATAGCAGTATTAGCCGATGCTGTGGATGGATAAGGTAAGGTGGGCACATGAAGGCACACCTTAGTGGTCCACTCCTACACTCCTACTGGATAAGGTATGTGATAGCCCCGTAGGTATGGATGAGGTGCGCTAGGAGGCAGATCTCCGGAAGGCGCGATGGACACATGCAAGCTCTCTCGGCCGACTTCTTGCCTTCTCTTGCCTTCTCTTGTCTTCCTGGGCAGTTGCTTTATTAAGCTAAGGTCAGGTAAGGTATAGGTAGGTAGGTAGGTACATTCCACTCTCATTGAAATTCCTTCCACTTTGCTTCCAGAACTTCCACTCACCTCTGCCTCAGCCTCAGGTAGGTGCCCTCGAAGCCAAGATGAAGCCATCATGCAGGACTGCCGCCCTGGTCCTGGCCCTAGCACTGGCACCTCCTGCTCTGGCTCGAAGAGACCCGACCATCTACGACAGGAAGACAAATCTACCACATCTTGCGAAGCGTGTGCCGCACTCCTCGCCCGCCAACGCCGGCACCGTCTTCACCTCTGCATCGACTCCCGTGATCAACCAGACCGAGGCTGTGAAGCGCTTCACTGTCAATGGCAGTGCAATTCCGGAAGTGGACTTTCATATCGGCGAGTCATACGCTGGTCTCCTGCCCATTGGTCCAGGCCAGGACGTCAGCGAGCTATATTTCTGGTTCTTCCCCACCCCCAATCCTGCAGCCGATGATGAGATCGTCATCTGGCTGAACGGAGGGCCAGGATGCAGTAGTCTGGAGGGAGTGCTTCAAGAGAATGGGCCGTTCTCGTGGCGTAAGCTCGTCCCTGCAACGCCCTTGCACGAGCGCATTCGCTAATCATGTGAGAACGCAGAGTACGGAACCTTCAAGCCAGTCAAGAACCCTTGGACCTGGGTCAATCTCACGAATGTGGTGTATATTGAGCAGCCCGCCGGTACAGGCTTCAGTCCGCAAAAGGGCACAACACCAGCTACAGATGAGATCGAGGTCGCAAAACAATTGTAAGCTGAGCTAGCTGAAGAAGTCGTCGAGTCTCTGGGCACATTACTGACTCTGTATTGCACAGCCTGGGCTTCTGGAAGAACTTTGTAGATACCTTTGGACTGCAGAACCGCAAGGTGTACATTACCGGCGAGAGCTATGCCGGCTACTACGTCCCATACATTGCAGATGCTATGCACAACGAGACGGACAGCGAGTACTACAACGTGGAGAGCATCATGTTCTACGATCCATCGCTGACTTACCACGTCGTTCAAGGAGACATACCAGCGTTGCCATTTGTGGAGCACTGGCACAATCTCTTCAACTTGAATCAAAGCTACATGCAAGAACTGACGAAACGCCACGAGGACTGCGGCTACAAGCAGTTCATGGAGGAAGCCTTCGTGTTTCCGCCTACAGGTCCTCTGCCAACACCGCCAGACGTTGACCAGCAGAATGACACATGCCGCATCTTCAACGACATCACAGATGCTGCCATGCTTGTCAATCCTTGCTGGGATGTCTACCAGGTTGCCACGACTTGTCCTCTGTTATGGGATGTGCTCGGTTTCCCTGGCTCGTTTGACTACCTCCCAGAAGGTGCCAGCATCTACTTCAACCGCACCGATGTGCAGAAAGCTATCAATGCGCCCATTGGTGACTGGGCGGAGTGTTCGGACGGCGTTCTGTACGCGGATCTCAGCCCTCCTTCTGCACTCAGTGTTCTTCCCCGAGTGATCGAGAAGAACAAGAAGACCATCATTGCTCACGCTGAACTGGACATGATCTTGATCAAGAACGGAAGCATTGTTGCCATCCAGAATATGACGTGGGGAGGTGCCCAAGGATTCTCCAAGGGGCCAGACCAGTGGAACGACTTTTACATTCCATATCACACCGAATTTAGCCCTTCGACATTGGCAGCCGCTGGTAACTTTGGAAAGTGGCACACTGAGCGTGGATTGACGTTCTGCACGGTCGAGTTATCTGGACACATGGTGCCTCAATATGCGCCCTCGGCTGCTTACAGGCAGCTCGAGTTCCTCCTGGGCAGGATCGACAACCTGGGCGAGGTCAGCGACTTCACGACGCAGAGCGGCGACCTTGGGAATCATAATTCTTCCATGGCGCTGTTCTAGAGAAGCGGCGGTACATGCACTGTCGAGAAGATGACTGCATGTCTTGCGATTGTGTATATCATGAGATCAACGAGGAGATCAATGTAGGAGGTACCTGTAGCTCTCTCAAGTGGAAACAGATGCGGCCCAGCTGGACGCGAAAGTAACGCGGTGCCAAGGTGCCCATTTCTTCAGGTAATACTAATTCACGTACTATGAGCCTATGAGGTATGTAGCTCAATAGGTACATTACCTGTAATATATACATGGCCGTGTATATAAATGAGGTGCCTCATATCATGTATCCTCCATTGAGATGTCCTGTGTCCTGCACATATATGTCCAAAGACGCTCTTGCACGATGGGAAGGGCGCGTCTTTCAATCTTGCTTGGGCTTCAGGCCGCACGTCACCATGCCCGCCACGAGACTTCGCCACGACAGTGACTCTTTTTTTTTCCTTTAGGACACAGGCCGGCAAGATGCCACCTGAAGTGTATACAGTCTGATTGCAATTCTCCTTGGTACATGACACGGCAATGAATACCTCAAATATGGCTCCTCAGTCGCAATCACCTCACCGTTTCCTGCCGGGCCGACGACGAGCGTCGCCATCCAAACAAGATCGCACGAAGCCCACCGTCCCGGGGAGCTTGCGAGGAGATGGCTTTATTAGCGAGTCCGCAGTGGTCCCTGCCCTCACAGCAGGGCGAACAGTAGTAACAAAGCCTGCGACATTATCATCCAGAGGGGACGGGTTCATTCAGTCTACGCCGAAATCCAAGTCGAGCTCCGATCAATTCGCGCAGACTCCTAGGTTCAACTTTGGATATGCAGCAACCTCTTCTCGGGCGCCCCAAGGCACACCGAATACTAAACCTAGTCTGGTACGCATCGAAAGCGTGCAAGATACGTCTTTGACGGACAGTCATGATCATGATGATGGGATGCTAGACTCTGGGCGTAAAGCGTTACCAACGACAGAATCTTGTACTCAGCCCTGTGGCTGGGCACAGGAGTTGCCTCACTCGCCAAAACGGCGCAGGGTAGACGATCTATCTGCCAGCTTCGAAGCCGCTTTCGACTCGCCGGTGAGACCTTCGATGTTCAAACAACCGACCACGCCTGCCTCTACTTTGCGTAATGGACCGCATCAATTCTCTCGCGCATCCAGCATTGCTGGCTCGGCGGCGAACGAAAGTAGTGCTGCGCGACGCCCAGCGTTCCTCAAGTCACCCGCAGCTTCAGCGGAGAATTTGGAGCCACTACCGGAAGCATTCTCTCCACATCGACGAGGAGAAAAGTTCGTGCCTGGCGGTATGGCAGCGACGTTGCAACAATGGGTCGTAGAGACCGGTCAGTCTGCAGTACATAGCAGGAGAGGTCAGGGTTATTTGCAGGGCGAGGCATATCTCTATCGGGTCATGGTGGACTCGGTATCTGGCCACGGCCCCGTTCTGGTGCAAGGCAGACATCAGGATGGCGCTCGACTGCAGCTGTTGCTGATCTCGGATGGGAAAGCGAGAGCCAGCCATGCCCATGCTCAGCCAGGCAATGTTATTGGCGTGCGTGCGCCTTCTTGGGAGGTTCATCTCGCAGGCTGTAGCTGGATCGTGGCAGTAGACTGGACGATGCTGAGCTGAGGAGAGCACTCCCGTCGCTACCTTACCTTAGGCACTAATGAGCATTCAATCTGCCATGTCACATGTGTCTGTCGTATCCAGCCCAGCATCGCATTTCATCCCGCAAGTCCGAGCACGAGGCTACTGGCGCGCAATGGTGATGGCTTCGACCTCATAATTGCAAGGATGTCCCAGACAGCCAAGTTCTGGAGCGGCTTTTCGGCTCGTGAGTCGTGAGTCGTGAGTTGTTGCAATAAGGTACCTCCTACATAGTAAACAATGCCAACCAAACACAGTGTCCGCGGCCATGGCCCATAGCAACCACCGCTTGCGGCTCCGTCACGATGGCAGCAGAAGACATATGGTATTGCACGATATTCTTGATTCATATATGATATAATGATTTTACTGATTTTCATTATTTACTGTATTGTAATTTGTACCTGGTAGAACGGTAGAAGCGTAGGTATAAGCACAAAGATGCACATTCCGATTGCCGAGACACCCCGGGCAATATCATTTGTACCCGACGCGTGCCCCGGCGCGCGCTTGCCCAGCCACATTATTGTCAGCCACCCCGACACGTTTTATCACTTGTGATTGATGCTTTTGTACCTTGCCTTACCTTACTTATGCTACGAGGTACAACTCAAGACGGGGCCTGAGCAACAACCACCGCAATCTACTGACGCTACCTTACATTCGTTCCTGTTCCACTACCCTTCATACACCCGCTCGTTCCTCCAGCGCCCTGCGGTGCACGCCCATCAATTTCATCAGCAATGTGTTCCGCAGATTGATTAGAACCAAGCTTCTCATCTCCAAGCCATGCGCCTCTGCCGTTGCGTCAGTCCACATTGGCAAACACGCCGACACACCTCCCCGACACCCACTCACTCTCTGCATCGCTGAGCCTACCGCGCGCTGTGCCACCTTCACTGGGACGCCCACGCCCGAGCCCGACATGACGACGTCGAAAATGGCGAACAATGGCCCCCACGCCGCTGGCATCTTTGCCGACATGACCGTCGACGGGCCTGAAATTGGAACTCTGGTGGTGATAGTCGACCGCGGCAAGAACCTGCCCAACCGAAAGACTATGGGCAAGCAGAACCCGTACTGCGCTGCGAGACTCGGCAAGGAGGCCAGGAAGACCGAGGTGGACAAGAGAGGAGGCCAGACGCCCCGATGGTACGTCGTTCGCTGATCTTGAGACAGACAGCCAGAATCAAGATGAATTGTGACCGTAGTGAGGAGGCTGACTGACTGACGTGTTGTGATAGGGACCAGGAACTCCGCTTCACTGTTCACGACTCACCCGACTACTACAAGCTGAAGATGTCCGTCTTCAACGAGGACAAGACCACAGCGCTCATTGGTGAGGCCTGGGTGGACCTGGACAGCATTATCCTGCCTGGAGGCGGTAAGGGCGATCTATGGCAGGGACTTACGTGCAAAGGAAAGTACGCTGGCGAAATTCGAGTCGAGCTCACATACTACGACTCGCGGGAAAAGTCGGAGACGAAGGAGGAGACTGTGTCCATGGCGGAGGAGCTCAGACAGCAGTACGGAACTTTGCAGCCTAAGGTGAAGAGGAGGCCACTGCCCACAAATCCAAATGCACCAGCCACGACCGAAGTGGTCATACCCGAGCGACCCCTGCCGGGGAGAGCAAAGCATGGTCCCAGAGATCTCCAGGTCGCCAATCGAATGACTTCGGCACCTCCTGCAGTCAAGACGTACAACTATCCACAGTCCGAGACAACCCTATTTGGCCAGACGGGAGTCCAGTCGTTGTCGCAGAGCCACTCACCTGCGCCGGCAGCACATCCAGAGTTGCCGCTGGGCCAGCGCTATGAGGGCTACGAGCAGCATCCGGAGCCAGAGATCCACGATGCGTATGGGGTAAATCCCCTGCAGCCCGATTTCCTGCCACAACTGGGACCAAGCACTCGACCGCGAGGCTCTAATGCGCCACAGCCTCGCCATGCGCCCCGGCTGCAGTCTCAAGCTCGTCCGATGAGCCATATAGGGATCCCTCACTCGCATTCTGCGCCAATTGTGCCGATCACGCATCAAGTCGAGCCACGGGCATTCGATGACAGCTACCAGCTCCGAACAGACTATCCTGAGCCAATGCCCGATGTTGACCACCAGTATCGACAAGTAGCAATTTCGCGTCAAAGAAGAAACGACGTCCCGCCAGGGTGGCATGACGATTTCGCGGGTGCTTACTCGGACAAGCAGGCGTACGTGGAAGAGGAGGGAGACTCATCTTCCCCACCTCCGCCGCCCCCAATGCACAGCAACAGCGCACCTGCAGTGCCTCACTATCGAACACCGCATAATCAACCTCCGATGCCCAGACATGGTGGTACACCCCCTTCCGCGAGACAGCAGTATGCGCCAAACTCGTCGCCTTTGCAGAGCATCGAGCGCGACTACGGCCAGCAGCATATATCGTCACATCACCGACGTCACACCAGAGAACCTTCGTTCGACGAATTCGGAGGCGAGTCGCCATACCAGACGAGCCATCATTCGACACCTAATCTCTCCTCTCCTGCCGGACAGCAGAGTCCCTTACCTCATGCTCGGACTTCGCCTTACAGCAGACAAGTTGGGGGACGCAACAGCGTCGCGGAGGCATACGGCACTCCCTCGCGGCAGCCACACCCACTGTCTCAAGAAGTGCCCAGAGCAAGAAGTCCCCACCCGTATGGAACTCCAGAGCAGAACATCGCATACAATCATTATGATCGCGCTCGGGAAAGCTCGGTGCCCCTGATCAAGCCTAGAGCGATATCACCGGCGCCGCAACCTTCACAGCCAGCTTCAGCGCCGCGAAGCACGTATAGCCTGCAGTTTCCCGTGCGAGCCTTCGAATCCTCGGAGGCAAGCCCTCTATCGACTTCTGCTAACTCCAGGACGATCTCCATGCCACGAAAGTCAGTCTCCCCACGGCCGTCAATGTCAGAGGGCAGTGGATCATCCATCCCATTTTCCCCTGATAGCTTTGGAGTACACAATCCAGCTGCGCCTTTCGCAGAGGCAGAGTCTCGCAAAGGTCCCATTGTCGGATGGCACGGACAGGAGATAGATCCTTCTGACCATCTTCCCGTAAACTCTTGGGCTCCAGAGCCAGCCAAGAAAACACCAACAAAGACTTATGGGCTGGGTAGAGAGAAGGAATTCGGGCCACGAAGTCTATCCAAGGATACTGTTATCAATGTTAGAATGAAACCCGGGTCAAACTTGCCGGAGCAGCGTGCACAGCCTGCTCCTTCAGGCAAGACGACGATTCGAGGCGTGCTGAAGAAGGCTTCGTCGCAACCGAGATATGCCTCGGAGCCGCCGATGGACATTTCGAGAAATCACGACAATCACCACCCGGTGCCTGATCCTTACGAACAGCAGCAAAAACAGCTATCACGCTCATTCCGAGAAGAAAGTCACAGTGCATATGGACCGCCGTCGCTACCGCCAAAAGTTCCCCTTTCCCATTCACCGGGAGGGTATGGCGATGACGCATTGTCGAGAGAGATATCCAGTATTGACATTGGTGGAAGTAGACCGAGGCAGGGCGCTGTTTTTGTCCCTGTGAGAAGTCATCGTGATAGGAACAGCTTCTACTGAACAGATTGTCATGGCAGAGCGCACTGTTTTTCATGTGAGATTGGCGTTTTGATTGGCTGGAGGACAATAACATTATGCATAGACGAGAACAATGTCTCGGGAAAAGCTGTACTTCGAAGCCAGTACCTGGTAATGTTTTTTTTTCCGAGTACCTCCTACTCCCATCTCCTCGCTGTTGTCCTCTGCTGCACTGGAGTTGCCCTGCACGAACCAAGTTTTGGTCTCTGACAGTGACAATTGTAGTCCATCAAGGTTCATGTCTCCATCTATGGACGACGAGTCTCGCCTCCTTGCCTCACATTGCCAGTGATATCATCATCTCCTCCTCGAGTATCAGCAGCGATAGCTGCCTTATCCTCTGGACCTCCGACTCCCTCAAAGTCCTTTGCCTTGGTTGGCCTGCCCAGCGCGCACACACACGCACATCAATCAGAACTGACAAAACAGTAGACAGGTTGTTGAGAAGGGGTGGATGCCTTACTGTCCCGTCTCCTTGCTAATGCTACCCCCTTCTTCGAGGGGAATCTCACGATTGTTGCCCGCTCCTTGTCCTCCAACCTTGACGGTTGAGCCGGGAAATTTGGTCGTTGCGCTTTCGTCGATGCCGGATGCGTCGACTATATGAGACGGGAGAGGCATTGATTAGACTGTGGACTTGTTTCGTCTTGATGTTTTGTTCTGTGGAGGAAAGAGAGGAGGCTAGTGGAATCGTCGTATACTGTACCTTCATCACCTGCTCGCTTGGTGTTTCCTTTTGCTTCTTGTGTGTTCAAGTCGCGTTCGGCTTGCTTGGCAATCTCCAATGGGTCTTGTTGGGCGGACATGGTTAGGGATCTGTTGTGTTTGGAGTATAGTCTGGAACTTGGAGATATTCGTCGCTGTTGTTTATAATAACGAAACCAAGGGATTCAAGTGTGGTAAGGATGTCGTTTTGGGGATGGAAGTGCAAGAGAAGGAGACTGCTGCCCCTCTTAATGACATTACACGCTACATGTACCTCTTAGAGAATACGTCCATGTAATGTGGAAAACCTACGTGTTAGTGATGTCATATGTTACCAGTTTGAAGTGAAGGATTGATCGTCGTCATGCAGGTACCAAGTGGAACTGCATCGCGTGGTGTCGAGTGGTAAAAGGCAACAAGCCATTTGTAACGAACTATCAGTCTGGTTAATTGGTTACGGCTGAATATTCAGCGTCGCACAGAAGCCAATTTCAAACTGCTGGAAGGGGGAAGGGCATCGTGGGCAGGAACTTCTATCATATAGATACGTTGTGAATGTGATTTGAGCATGGTAAGGCACATGGCGTAAACAGAAATATGCAGCGACAGATGTCGTTTCCCTCTGGTATCGTGGCTCCGAACGCCTCGCTTCCCTATTGTTACTCAACATTGAATATCAAAGAAAAAAAAGTCCAAAAGTCATGGGGAGAGCTGTTCGCCTGTGCCACCGTCAAACGAGAATCTCCCGTGTGTCAGCTCGTCACGAGGTTTGACACTCTGTCCAGTGTCGACAACGTCCTCAGGCTTGATTCGCCTTGGCTGCCTGACACCTTCCCGTGGGGGCTGTGATGAGGTGGGAGTAGTCGAATTGATCCCGTTGTAAACTTGTTCTCGGTGTTGCAAGGCTTCTTTTTCCGTCAGCGCTTTCCCGTCCTTCTCTCTGATGGGCGGCAGATCCCCAGCCATCTCGAAGACGTGCCGTTCTCGGCCGTCGGCCTCGCTAATAACTGCGGACACTGGAGAGAATAGAGCGCCACTCTGTGAGCTGGAGTACGTTCCTTCTCCAGCAATAGGAGTGGAGGAGGGCTCTGATGCGCCTGGGGTGCTCATATCGGGCACTGTAGACAGTAATCGCTTATTCTCGCTGTAAGACGTAGAGCCTGCTAGTTCTGATTTTCCATGATCACTGTCGCTTCTTCTCAGACCGACTGGAGTGCCGCTACTGGTGTCATCTTCCAGGTTTCCACGTGTTGCTTGATGAGCAGTAGCAGCAGCAGCAGCAGCCTGCCTCTTGCGACGGAGCCAGAAGAGCAGCAAGACACCTATCAATACGACTGCAGCTACCGCACCCACCGCTACGCCCACGATGGCACCAGTGGTCAAGCTCGAGGAAGAGCCATCTCCGGGGCTCGAGGCAGGGGCATGCTCACTAGCATTCGAACGAGACAAGATTGGCACAAGATTTGGCTGCGCAGTCTGATCCCATAGTACTTGTGACAGATTGAATCTCGCAGACTCCCAATCCACGCTAATATATGCCTCTTGCATGAAGGTTCGGCCCAAGGTGTACTGGCTGCTGTTCTGGGCACGCTGTAGTGGAAAATAGCGGGTGCTGTTTTCCAAACCCTTAAAGGGAGGCTTCGCAGTCAAATCAAAGGACGCGTATGGTAATGTTATTGGCACCAGCTGCCCGCCTGATACTCCCTGTGCGAGATTGAAGGTGATGGATGCGTTTCGCTCTACGAGAGCGTCATGGAGCGTGTCGTTGACAGTATACAGCTGCGATACATTGTCGTAGACCAGACCGAACTCATTCTCGAAGACTTGGCAGGCGTCAATAGGCAGCCATATCTCTGGAACAGTGCAGTCAATATAGGCATACACGGGGTCTGGCAGCAATTCGGTAGGAGTGGAAGAGGAAGATGTGGTGGTGGTGGTTTGGATGGACTGAATGCCCACGACGAGATCGCGTTCGTTGTCAGCGGCAAACACGAAGGTCACGTTGTTGTCCACGAAGCGGGAGGCATCATAGCCACCCAGTGTCAGCGACGCGGGAACGCCAGTGTGTCGCTGGCGGTACTTTGCTCCAGCGGTATAGCCGAAAGAAATGCTCGGAATGTAGTTGTGCAGCTTGAGCAAGGTCATGTAGCTGGGGGAGCCATCGTCATAGCTGGTGAAGTTGGTGGGCTTGGGATTGATGCCAAAGAGGCCGAGGTAGAAGTCTTCGACGGCCAGCGCTCCGACGACGGTGTGCTCAATCGACGGGCCGCCGCCGCCGCCGCCGCCATGGCCATCACCGCCGTCGCCGTCATCTCCGCCGCCTAGGGCGACAGTGTCATAGCCATAGAGGGCATTGCCCTCATAGCCGAGGTTCTTGGCGACCCACAAGTCGTAGATGCCGCGCGGGACGAAGGTGGAGGAGGTGTGGTTGTCGTAGGTGCCTCCTCTGGCGGCGACGCATTCGGCCTGATCGGCAGCCAAAGAACAGCCTTGGGGCAGCACGACCCAGGTCTGGTAGGACGCGAACGACACAAACGTGCGCACCACCTGCGCGGGCGTGCCGACTCGCAGCGTGAATGACGACCACTCTCCGTCAACGCCATCCCAGTGTTGACTGGGCGGGAACGCAATTGGCGCGGGACTTGCAGCCGAGGCAGTCGCGTTGTTGTTGTTGTTGCTGCTGCTGCTGCTGTTATCGGCGGCTCGTCGGGAGAGCTGGACGGGTGGCGTGTGTGCCGTCGGAGGAATCTCAGAGGCAAGAGCAAGAGCCAGAGCCAGAGAAAGAGCAAAAGCCAGAGAAAGAGCAAGAGCGAGGGCCGCCAGAGGAGCACGAGGCAGGATCTGCCGTGGGAGGTGTCTCGAGGGGAAGGAGCGGGAGTGCATCGCGAGTTCACATTCGTCGTCCCTTCCGGCCAAGCTGGGCCTCTCCAGCGGGCTGCAAGAAACAACAACGACGATGACAACGACGACAACAATAACAACAACAACACCGATCAAGTAGCATCGCAGACAATACTCGACACCACGTTCGCTCCAATACATGAGGTGTAATCACCTATGTACTGTAGTCGTCTCCCCCCCGTCCCCCCTGGATACCAGGCATACAGGCTTCAGCAGAACTCCCCTGCACGGAGCATTGAACCCCCAGCATCGCCGCTCTTGGCGGCTAGTTCTAGCCTCCTGCTGGGCCAGTGCAATGCCAGCAGCCATGAGGTGCCGATGATTGTGTGTACGCCTAGGCCCCGTGTACGGTGTCAGTCGTACGGTGTCGCTTATTCACAAGTGTTGCAAACAGCAGCGTCATATATGTATATACTATGTATGTGTCTATATATATATAGGTACCTTATATATATAGGTCTTGTACTGAAGCGCCGGAATGTTGGACATGGAATAGTAAGGTTGGGTAAGGTAGGTAAGGTCAGGACCGTCAGGTAGGTAGGTAAGGTACATGCAGGTAAAAGTAATATCAATATCATCAACATTCGTATTTCTCGTAACAGTGGATAGACTAGATTATGGGCATAACGCACAATATACAGTAAATGGAAATCACCTCCCGCTCCTCTCCGCAAGGCCTAGCGAGGCTGGCCGCTGGCCTAGGTCATTTACCAGCGACGTCCACCTCCCATCCTCGCTCGTGGAGGAGGCATTGCTGCACGACCTCTTGGCCCACCGAAGCCTCGAAACATCCCACCACCACCTCCCATGGGCGCACGTCCCGTCATTCCTCCGCCTCGTCCGTACCCTGGCTTCTCTACCACAACCACCTGGGGATTGCGACGGGACCGGCGCGAGCCGAATGGAAGACACATTTCTTGTTGTGCTTGCGGTTGTGCTTGCGGTTGTTTTCTTGTCTATGTGGTCGTCGTCGTCGTTGTTCTTGTTATCGTCGTCGTTGAATCTTCTGCTGCGGTTGCTTGGTTTTTTGCTTTCTTGGCGAAGTCAAATGGAAGAAGGTCAGGTAGGTAGCCTCGAATATATAATTGTGCTATTGATCTGTTCCCGTATTGACTTGTTCTGGTGGTGGTGATGATGATGATCATGGTGCAACGTTTGGATACCTGGATATATATATATATACCTCCTTACCTTACCTATGCTCAACTGGAGAACTGTCATGCCTGTGACCTATTCGTCATTCTGCCACGATCGAAGTTGGTATATCCTGAAACTGGGAAATACGCCAGCCCCGCGGAGCAGTCCACCGAGTACTCGACTGCTCTATCTCTACAGCAAAAAGTTCATACTATACCGACATCGAGTCACTACCCTTAGATCGATCGATGTTCCACAGTGCTGGGCCTTGGACACAATGCTTGTCACTCTAGTTTACCACACGTATTGGATCCAAGTAGATGCTTGGCAAGCATTGTGCACCTCGATCACGAAAGCATCCCGTCGTCAGTCACACCTCCATCGTCAGCAACACCAGATAATACATGCAATACGGAGCATGTTATGTCTCTACAACGGCAGGAATAGGCTACTACCACAATCTACACGAGAGCGAGAAATGACAGTTGGGTGAACAGATCCGATTCTGTCAATTCTAAACCGAGGCTGGTGTGGGTTGACTCCAAGTATCTGCTGCTACAGTGCTGCGAAATGTCATCATATCGATTGGTGGCGTACTTGTGCCCATCGATTGCAGCAGCAGAGTTTGTGTATGCCTTTGCGCAGGTGGTGTTGCAATCCGTGCCACTGAAGCGGACATGAAAAAACTGTGAACTGCATTCATCTACTGCCGCGGGGCAACAAGCCGACATCTGATCGCAGAAGCTCCATGGCGACTGTCAATCTGTGTCGTCGTCGTCGGCGGCGGCGGCGAGGTCTGCTCTGGCTTTGGCGGAGCTTTTATTGCGAGTGGTCCAAACACGCGGAATGGCCGGCCTACTTGTGGATTATAGCATCGATGGACTGGCCAGCTCCCGCCTTTGTAGCATCTTCATCAGGGACAGGGCGCTCGTCAATGTCATCCAGATTGAAAAGCAGGGCGTCATCTTCCAGAGTCGGCTGCAAGTACTTGTCGTCCGCCCACGCTTCTGCATTGCTGACCTCTGGCCTGGCGTTTCCCGATTTGACTTCAGCTCGCAGGTAGTTGACCAGCTTCATGGATGAGTAAAAGTCCAAATCTATATCGCACATTGGCTTCTATCACTGGTTCCCAATCACGAGGAGTTTCCACATACCGTGCTGTGCCTGCACCTTTGCCAGATCAAAATCATGAACACTTGCACAATGCTCATTCATGGCCTGGGCGCCGCCAAACTGTGCCTCACAGAAGAGACACTTGACCCTGATGTCTTCGGTGTCATCTTCCACATCGTCCCATCCCTCCGAGTCAGGTTTCAAGTCAATGCCCGCCAATGCGATGTCGGGTTCGCTGCCATCTGCACTGTGGTGGTCGTCCTCGTCTCCGGAGAGATGGTAGTTGCCGTCTTCTTCCACTGGTGGACCGACCTTCTCGCCGTCGGCATTTCTCATCCGCCATCCATGAGGGAGATCGGGCATTCTTATGTTGCGAGTGAATATCCGTGAATCTCGGCAGGTCAGGTGGGAAGAGAATTTCGTGCATTACTGGAGTGACTACATGTGATAGGGCAGCTGGCAGACAAGGATAATGTGAATAGATCAGGTAAGCTTTTGTGGGGGCACCCGCACGAGGATGTCGTGATTGTGCCTATCTCCCGTCCTTCATTGACGTCGATGGCCCTTTCAAGTTAAAAGAGAGCACTCTTTGTCGCCTCACCTCACCTGCACCTTCACTTCTCCTTCGCCGTATGTCTTACAAGGTGTACATGTACAGTCACAGATAATGGCGCCGGACAGAGGAGACCGCGAACATCTGCTTCGTGGCAGCAGCAACGATGACTACAACGACAATGACAACGACCACGACCACGACCACGACCACGACCACGACCGCGACCTCGCACCGCAGAACAGCGTCACTTCCGCCCCCATCGGCCACGAACCCGATGCCGCCTTTCTCGCGCGACAATCCGAACAGCCTCAGTTCACGCTGCGCGCCTTAGTGGCGGGTACCCTCATCGGTGTGTTGATAGCCTTCTCCAACACGTACTTTGGTCTGCAGACAGGATGGATCTCGGGTATGGCTATGCCAAGTGCATTAATTGGGTTCGCGTACTTCAAGGGCCTGCGGACAATGTCGAGAGCGGTTGGCGGCCGACTCGAGAGCCTCGGCCTGGGCAAGGACTTCAGCGAGGTAGAGAATGTGCTCGTGCAGACGGTTGCAGGTTCAGTGGGCACTATGCCGCTCGGCTGTGGATTCGTGGGCGTGGTGCCTGCGCTGGAGTTTCTGCTGAAGCCAAGTGAGACTCCGCCGGGCGCTGTATTCCACGCTGGTATGCCGGAAATTGATGGCCTTGCCAGCGGTGGGATTCATTTGTCGCTCGCCAAGTTGATTCTGTGGGCGCTAGGGCTGTGCTTCTTTGGTGTCGTGTTCGCCGTGCCTCTCCGCAAAGAGGTCATTATTCGTGAGAAGCTGAAGTTTCCCTCGGGAACTGCCACTGCGCTGATGATTGGTGTCCTGCATGGTGGCGAGAAGACCGGCGTCGAGGGCGAGGTCGAAAGACATGCCGAGACCCGTCGGAGAAGATCGAAAATGTCCAATAGCACTGGCGATGCAGAAGCTCAAGCTTTCATCAGCGATGCTGCTTCTCGGCCCAGCATCGACAGTGAACCCCTGACACGAAAGGATAGCAGAACCGATGTACAGAAAAAGGATTGGCAACAGCAGATTCGACTGTTGACTACCTCCTTTGGCATCTCTGGTGCATATGTACGTACATCACAAATAGTAACCAAGACCAGCTACGGACTGGCGCTGATGGTAAGTGACAGACTTTCGCGTCCTATTTCGTGCCCCAACTTCACTCTATCCCTTTCCTGGGTCTTTACTTGTCTGAGAAGTGGGTGTGGAATCTCAACCCGAGTCCAGCATATGTCGGCCAAGGCATCATTATGGGTCCTGCGACCACTATACACATGCTGCTTGGGGCAGTCCTCGGCTGGGCCGTTCTCTCACCTGTAGCAAAGTCCAAAGGCTGGGCATCTGGCCCAGTGGACGACTGGAACACCGGCTCAAAAGGCTGGATCGTCTGGGTCAGTCTGGCGATAATGCTCGCAGACGCCATCGTCTCCCTTGGCTGGCTCATTCTCCGACCCACAATCTGGTACGTTCGCACATATGGCTCCGAATTGGTCCAAGGCATCAAACAGAAGGGCCTTAAACGCCAACTCCACGACATCACAACACCAATCATGCGAGGTTACAGTCCTGTCAACCTCTCCAACGATCCCAATGGTAGTTCTGCCATAGACTATGCTCAAGAACAAGAATACGACGCCCCACCGGAACACCAAATCGGCATCAAAACCACCCTGATTGGCTTGATACTCGCCCTCGCGTTCTGTATCTTCGCAGTCCAGTACTCTTTCGCCGGCATCATCTCCATCGGTCTCACCATCCTCGCTCTCCTTCTGGCCCTCGTCCTTTCCATTATGGGCGTCCGAGCTCTGGGAGAAACCGACCTGAACCCAGTTTCGGGTATCTCGAAACTCACACAGCTAATCTTTGCAGCTGTCGTCCCCTCGAACTCACCAAATGCAGTAACCATAAATCTTATAGCCGGTGGAATCAGCGAAGCCGGCGCTCTCCAGGCTGGTGATCTGTTACAGGATCTCAAATGCGGGCATCTCCTAGGTGCATCACCAAAGGCACAATTCTGGGGCCAACTCATTGGCTCGGGTGTAGGAGCTGTCGTAAGTGCGTGTATTTATCGCTTGTATACGAGTGTCTACACCATCCCCGGAGGACAATTTCAAATACCTACAGGATATGTCTGGATCTTCACTGCACGCCTCGTGACAGGCTCTGGTCTGCCTCCGAGGACGTTTGAGTTTGCTGTTGGAGCTGCTGTTTTGTGGTCTCTACTCACCGCGTTGCGGATTTACGGACAAGGTAAAAAGGCTTGGTGGACGAGTCTTGTGCCTGGTGGCATTGCGGTTGCAGTGGGAATGTACAATACCCCGTCGTTTACGCTTGCAAGGACCATTGGAGGGTTGATGGCGTGGTGGTGGAGTGGGTGGAAAAAGAGAGAGGAGACGCCGCTGATTGTGTTGGCTAGTGGGTTGATCCTTGGGGAGGGATTGTTGAGTATCGTTAACTTGGGCTTGGCTAGTGGAAAGGTGCCCCATTTATAAGCCAAGTAAGAAGCTTTGCCTATATTGCTGCTTTTTATATTACAAGATGTGCTGCACTGATTCCGGCTCGATACCTACCGCTATCCTTCAAATTCCGAATAATACCAAGGTGAATACCGAACTTAGCCTTTACTTTTATAGCGATTCGAGAGCTCTTCTAGATTAAATGGCCAATACTCACAATACTTGGATGCTCCTAGACTTATTCAGTATATCTTATAGGCGGGTCTATTAGTAGTATAGAACGTAGGCTGATCTTGCTAAAATAGAGGGTAGTCTTCTTCTCTACTAGAACTTGGATGTATCCTTAGCAGAGATAATGTAAATACAAGCAAGCGCTATAATTCTATCAAACTCGTTTATTCAAACATATTCTCTATAAACAAATGGGAACATCCTAGGTATAAGTAGATTTTAACTTAGCTTAGGATATCGTAGAAGGTAGGGGGAGTAGGAGTAGGAGTAGAGGGTAAATAAAATGCTTATTATTTAGGATTCTATCTAGAGGGGACTCTATAGATCCTTATATCTCCTCTATAGTAGTACTAGAGGGTTGTATATACGGAACGTAAGCACTTATGTATCCTTAGAACTAATTAGGAGTATAGCAGAATCTTTAAGAGCCTAAGAGGCTAAGTCTCTATAGCTGTTCAGGACTCTAAACTTGTAGAATTCTCTAGTATTAAGTATACAATATAGAGAAAAGTTATAGACTTACATATAGCTCTTAAAAACATGTTTTTAAAGTATTCTAGAAGATATTAGACTGGTTATATAATTGGTTATATGATTGGTTATATGATTGGTCTCTTAATTCTTGCTTAGGTACTAGTCTATCTAGAGAGGCTACTAGCCCTCCTCTTATAATCTAGAAGTTTCTAAAGCCTTCTCTAGGATTCTATTTCCTAACTTTAGTTAGGAAAAGGTAGGGCTACCCTATAACTATATCTCTTAGTATTCCTACTAACTGTCGGACTGGTTAGGTACGTAACCGTTAGATGCTACGTTACCGTTGGATTCGCCCTCGGGCCTTTGTCCTCGAAGAAGCTTAAGATTAATATCTTCAAACTATATATTAAGTATCTAGTCTACAAAGCTAACTTACCCTCTAGGGTAAACCCTCTAGGGTAAGAGGACAGACTTTCGGCGCCGTAGATGTACTAAACCTAGTTACTCTATAGACGTCCAGATTAATTATATGATAGTTATAGGCAATTAGCCTATATATTAGTATACAATTACGTAATGAATCGTTATATCCTATATAATAGACAGTGTTTCCTTACTTTAGATGTCTCTAGAGAAAATACTAGGTAGACAATCTTTAGTCCGGTTACATTACTAAATCTAAATATAAGATCTCCAATATAGAATATAGGGTAATATACTATCAAAGCTCTAAAGGAAAAGCGATATATAGTATTGATTCTTGATTTTGAATGTTATCTTAAAAAGATCTATTAACAAGGGCTAAGGGCAGATCGAATTCTGTCTAGAGGTAGACCCTATTCTAATTATTAAGTAATGTATTATAATTGGCACGGAACGACCTCTAGCGTAGGTTAGGCGCAGGAGGGGAGTAGGGGCCAATCAATCTATATAAGGGGTAAAAGAAAAAGAAATCAGAGCATATACGCTAATTAGTAGCGGTAGGGCGCGATAGTACGATAAGCCAAATCAGTTACTACCTCAAAATAGCCCGCTATAGGCGCTAAGGAAAAAAAAAGCTCTATATATTAACTACCGGAGGCACCTCTACGTAGTTCCGTAGTAAAGCGAAGGACTACTATGCCTAATAGAGGCATTAAACGCGCGCGCAATATGCGTAGTATATATTGCACAGGTACGTAGCGCGCAGCGCTACGTAGTACTGTATAGTAAGGTATATATATAGAGCGCGGCTTTCAAAGCCGGTCCTCTAGTATAACGTATTATAATAATATAAGTATACTTAAACTTTCTACTTTAAGTTATACAACCTCCTTCTATCTACTTTATATTAACACCGACATTATACTACTAATACTACTAATACCTACTACTACGACAACAACAACAAACTATACTACTGCTATAGATATCTACTACTAATATACTATTAAAGAAATTATACTGCTAATAATATACTACTACTAATATACTATTAAACCGAGTATCTTTTATTATACTAAACGATAATAGGCCCTACTAACGATAGCAACGATAGCAATAACAAGCCTTACTACTAATTAATATACTAAAGAGGTATTTACGCCGCTACCGCTATATAATACTATCGAACAATTTATATATATACTAGGCTATATACAGGGAATTATATATGGCGGGAGCAAAAATTCTAAATAGCAGGAGGTTAAGTTTGCCTAAGGTACGCGTGTCTATATCGCGCGGTATCTATCGCGTAGTATCTATCGCTATATCTATCGCTATGTCTATCGCTTCTATCGCCGTGTCTATATCGCTATATCCATCGCTGTGTCTATAACGCGCTATGTCTATATCGCGCCGTGCCTTCGTCTATTGCGTAGTGTCTATCGCGCAGTGTCTATCGCGCGGTGTCTATCGTATAGTGTCTATCGCGTAGTGTCTATCGTGCCTTGTCTATCTCTATCTCTATCTCTATCTCTATCTCTATCTCTATCTCTATCTCTATCTCTATCTCTATCTCTATCTCTATCTCTATCTCTATGCCTATTTCTTGATTGCCTAGGTAGGCATCCTAGGGACCTTGTCTTGTCTTAGTTCTTCGAAAAGTAGGTAGGCATTCTGCCTTAGGCGAATTTGGCCTCCTACTATTTAGAATTTTTGCTCCCGCCGCATATAATTGCCTCTATATACCTTCTAAAAAACTCTAAACCAAACCTACGTTCTTAAATACTTAATACTATATATACTACTAACTAATTTATAGATATACTAGATTAATATACTTAACTAAATTATAGAACCCTATACCAAATCTAGACTAATTTATACCAAATTGATAATCCAAATTAAATTATAGAACCCTATACTAAAATCAACTAACAATAGTAACTATATACCTAATCTACCTAAATCGATACTATAGCAACGACAAGCCCTACTACTAACAACTACTTATACCGCTGCCGATATACTGCTACTAATATACTGCTACCGATAAGTTACTAACTTACTAAACTATATACCTTCTAATAAAGTGTCTAGCAAACCGATATTTGTAAAAACTTAATAGCGCTAACTAACTTATAGAACTATATACTATATACTATATACTATATACTATATACTATATACTATATACTATATACTATATACTATATACTATATACTATATACTATACCCTATACTCTATACCTACTAATCCTCTCTCTACTATACCTATAGCGTAGCCGGCGGCGATAAACTAACACTATTCTATACTCTATTTAAGAGCCTATTTAATCGAGCGGATCTCGACCCTAACGAAGAGTTTATACTAACTGCTATAGGGTCGTACTAGGTATACCTAGCTATTTAAGGGCTAGCCTACTATCCTCTAAAAAGACGAAGCTTACTATATATACTACCGGCCCTATACTACTAGTACCTATACTACCTATTAGCTTGTTATTAACGCTTATAGATATAAACGACCTACGATTCTATACTTAGTATTAGGCGATTACAAGCTAATTTAGTATTAGTAGCTGATTATAGCTACTCGTACTTGACCTAAACCTAAGCCTAAACCGACGTCTACCGATTGCTATATTGTCGTTATCTACTCTTCCTATCTATACGAACGATCTACGATTCGATACTTAGTATCAATTAATTTCCTAGGTAATATAAATAATCCTTAATCTCGTTCGCAATATAGGTTAATTGCTTACTAATTCGGAATATAGACGATGTCTTTAGCTATCTATAGTTATCTTGAATTCCTTTAGCGTTGCTAAATACTACCGTTATCTTAATATAGTCTGTCTATATTATCTAGCACGGCTCTAGTACTATCGAATCTTAGATATTAGATTACGAACCCCTTTAAGATACCGCTAATAAGTCGATACTATACGTATTTGCTACTTCTAGCTTTTAATTTACTAAGTCTACTACTATAGTAGCCGATAACTACGACAATCTAGATAATAACAACTATATCCCTTAAAGCTTGCAACCTACGTAACGTTAGCGCCTTATAGAGGGATTGTAAGCACTACGTTACTCGGCTTCTTACTAATAAGAGTAATAGTCCGGCTCTACTTACTAATAGTAACGATCTTAACTAACCTATATGTCCGTGTTTAACGAGACTCTCTTAACTAACTTTAACAATACCCTCGATTCCAATATAATAACTATATACAATATATATAATAAGCGGTAGTTTAATCTACGCCTATAATAAATATTTACTATTGAAGCCATCGAGTATACTAATATTTACAATATTAGTCGTAGTACATCTCGTTAAGGTAGTACTACTAAGAAGTAAGGTACCCTATATAGGTAGAATGCTTCTAAATTCGAGGCTAATAATAGAGTTACTATAAATACGTTGTCTTATTCTTAAAGGACGTTATTAAGGTATATAATAAGCTCCTAAATATAGTAGTTCTTAAGCCTACCGATGCTAACAATAATAATACTAATATATACTAGCTATAATTTACAAAAGAATTTATAGTATATCAGGACGTTATACTAGCCTAGCTCCGCTTCTTAAAGGTAAACTACCCTAGCTACCGAGACGTATTAATTAACTATTAAGTTGATCTACTATACTATACTAATATTATAGATTAAGTCGCTAATAGTTAGTATAAAATAAAGTAGGTATAGGTAATTAGGAGGAATTATATACGGCGGGAGCAAAAAATCTAAATAGCGGGAGGTCAAGTTTGTATAAGGCACGCCGTGCCTATATCGCGCCGTGTCTATCGTACCGCGTCTATCGCTAGGTATGTCTATATCGCGCTGTGTATCTATCGCGCCGTATCTATCGCGCCGTATCTATCGCGCTATATGTCTATCGCGCCGTATCTATCGC